GAGATTAAAGGGGGAAAATCTGCTTCAAAAATTAAAAAGAATAGGGGTTAATAGGCGAGAGAATATTCTATTACATAAACAAATCTTTCATTTCTCACAAAAATCTTGGAGAACATTATGATGCCTATTTTATGGATGAGGAAACTGAGGCTTGCAGAGCAAAGTGGCAAGGCCAAGCCTAAGGTAAGCTTGGTTGCAGTGCCTGCCCTGTCTCCATCATGTCACCTGCCTCAGCCCAATGCCCCACCTTGTCCTTGCTTACCGTGGGCATCTTCTCTCGCAGATGGTTTCTGTGGCCTGGCGTCACTTGTCCTGGTGTCTTCACTTAAAACTTCCTGCCTTCCTCCTGTCCTCTGCAGGGGCTGCAGCGTCCTTATGCTCATCTTATTCTAGGCTTTCCAGAAGCAGTGACCGTCCTTCAGTGCTCAGGAGCTATAGCCCCCACAAGTCCCTCATCTCGTTGATACCCTGTGCAGTTCAGGTGATGGTGATTGCTGCTCTGGCTCAAAGTTGCCCAGGACCCCATGGCCACCCCAGTCTGGCCTGTCTCTTCCTATCGGAGCTCCCTGGACAGGGTGTTTCAGTTGGGGAAGAAGTGCCCTTGCCACTTCCTGTTCCTGCCCAGCCTGGCTAAGGGGCACTTGGGAGCCGGGTTTCAGAGGCTCACTCTGCTCACACTCAGGGACGGTCCCTGTGGGCAGTCAGGAGCCGTGGCCTTGTGCAGTTTGTACGATGATATCCTTAATATTTTCCCCTTTAAATCAATAGATTTTCTAAACATGGGTCCATCCTCATAGCAGCTATGAAACAAAGATGAGCTATTCTACCCTTTACTATTTTTTAATACATTTTAGATTTTCTAAATTTCTGTGACCACAAAAATAAAATATTTTTGACCACATATCATCCAAACACACCTGTGGGGCATGTTCATTCACTCTTTTCTGAGACTTCTATGTACTGCCACCCAGGGGCACCTCGGCAGGTGGGACCCTTCCCTGGGTGGGGAGACAGAAAGTCTGGGCGGGATCCCTGTGTCACCAGGGCTAGTTTTGTTACTGACACTGCACTTGTCATTGTGCCTCTTGGAACCCTGAGTTCCTTTCTACAGTGGCAGAGTGGGCTGCTGTGACCCCTGAGTGGCTGTGACATTCAGCTGCAGGATGTCTGTTGTGTGTCCAGTGAGGGTCTGGTATGGCCCTGTCCAGCCACACTGCTTTTTCTCAATGTGTGACAGACACAAAGGGTATGGCAGTGAGCCAGCTGGCAGATGGCTCACTGACTGGACCCCAGGCACTCCTATCTCTGCCAGCACTAGGCTTGGTGTCCCTGTGGGTCTGCCCGACGTGATCCAGCTCCAGAAGGTTCTTAGATGTCCTGGCACCTCTGCCTGTCTGTCTAGGTGGGCGTGGGTCATCTGTCACATGGACTATCACCCTAACTGCCTGGTCAGCTCCCAGCATCCTTGAGTCCATCTCTCCCCAAGAAACGTAAGAGACCCATACATTGTTTTCTCTCTGAAGTGCCCTGCTGCTTCTGATGCAGCAGAAGCCTCCCAAGCTAGTAGGGAGATGCTACTGTCTGTGCAGCATCCTGCAGCCACAAGGAGACTTCTACATAGGAAAGAGGACAAAGGACCCCCTTACCTTTTGGCACTCCTGATGCTGGAGTATTTCAGACTAGAGAAAGGCAACGAGTCATCTGGGGAGATCCCGGGGCCTTCCCAAGACCAGTCAGCAGGCCAAGGCCATCTGGGAGGCCCAGGATCACCTGGGACCTGCCAAGTCCTGGACATGCTGCTCAGGCCTGGAGGGCAACACCCACAGCTGGCAGTGGGATGACCAATCTCTGGGGTGGTGGCAGAGCTCTACCCATGGTCTAGGGTAGGTGCAAAATAGAGAGCTATTCAGGCGTCTCTCTCTCAGGGCCCACTGGGACATTCCAGGGGGAGATCTGGAATCCAAGAGGTCCTCATATCCTGTGTTCCTTGAGGGGCACAGACACCTGGTCCTTGGCCCCACAAATGCTTTCACTGACCTTAAGGGAGCTTTATCCTGCCCTTTCCACCCCTGGGTCTCCCTTCTTATATTCCCACCACGCTGGGCCACAGTCTGCCCATGTCCCCGTGCCTGCCTTCAAAGGCCTCTCCTGTCTCCGGATCATAGGCCTAAGTTCTCCTCTGGATCCTCTCACATTCTTTCTCCTTCTGGGCTGGTGCTGCTTCTAGAGCAGAAACTCACTGCAGCAGCCTTAGCTTCCACCTCCCAGGTCCCACTGCATCCTCCCCAACCTGTCCCTCCAGGCCCAACCCACCCCCACCCGTACTGCCTGTCTCCGGCTCCCAGAACCTGGCTGCTATATCACCTGGAGACAGGTCTGGTGGGCAGAGGCTAAGTGGCACCAAGCACCAGGTGGGCAGAGACACTCCCAATCCCTGTATTTCCTGTTTGGCCCCAGGAAGTCGTCCCCCTCCACTTTGTGGCTTCCTCTGCAAGATAGGGTAGAGCTGGATGCCATGGGATCCCACAGGATCCCTGGAAGCAGATCTGGAATAAGGAGTGGGGGAAGGGAGGTGGGCCAGGACCAGACATGAAATTGAGAGTCACATGAGTATCAAGGCAAAAGCCTATGTTTGGGACGCGACCAGTAAGGGAGCCATAGGTGTGACACTGGTCCATCTGTCTGGGTCTTTGAGTGTCTTCATTGTGCCAGCTCCTGCCGGGAATGCTCCTGCTCTTGGGGGAGCTCTGCCTGGTTCACTTGGGGCTCTTCGCCCAGAAACTGCTGACAGCAGTGACCTCCTTGGAGGGTGAGTCCCTGCTGCCTGTCACTGTTTCCTGAAACCAGAGGTGGGCTGGGCCCGTAGCTGGAGAAGGAGATGCTGGGTGGATTCTCACAGCAGAGCCTGACGACCACAGACAGCAGCTTCTCTGGTGAGCTACTAAGGTCCAGCTGCTATAGATGGACAATACTAGAATCTAAGGGTGAGCCCCAGAGGTCTGCAGGTGAGGTGTGCTCCCTGCTGGTTCTGATGTGTGCCAAAAACTTCCACAGTGGGGGAGGTTGCCAAGAAGACTTCACATAGTAGGGATGGAGGTGTCACAGAGGACATTGACACTTTAAGCCTGGTTGGAGTGATGCCTGAAAATAGAAATATTGCTCTTTTTTAAGCTGGAAATTTGTCCTCTGGACACTCCAATAACCTTGCACTGTGTCACACTCTCCAGTCCCTAGAGCTAACAGCTGCATTCTGAAGCCCCGCTGCCCCATCCTCCAGGGGCCAGGGTGAAAAGTCGAGGCCTGGGGAAGACATGGGCAGAAGGGGCTGCCGTTCCTCATCACCCATGACTGCGGGCTGTGCCTGTGGCCTTCGCGCTCATCTTGAACAACCTTTAGGGGGAGGCATCTGTTTCCCCTGAAGAGAGAAAGGAAATGGCCAGGGCCTCCAGCTTGGCTACCAAGCTGCTGGGCTTGAGAGTCCTGGCCTTTTCCCAGTGGCCTTGGCGTGGTACAGCTGTACCATGGTCCCCAAAGTGGAAGAAGGTTGCTACTGCTCCCTCTCTAGGGAGCACTTCAGCCCATTACCAATCTTGCTGATCCCTGTCCTAAATGGGGTGGCCTGTGTCACCAGAGCCTGTTACAGGGAGGAATTTCCCTGGTTTCTTGAGCCCTGGGATCGACTTCAGGAGAATTAGTGGGTGGTTATATGAAATGATAATGGCTGAAGGAAGGAAGCATAGAATATATGCAAATATAAAATAAGCACCTGCCCAACATTTGGTTTAATTGGCAAGGAAATCAGTAAGATATTTCTACTGGTTGATAAGAGAATTCAAAGTGCCCCATGTATAAGGCAGAATGGTAAAGTGAATTTATAAGTGGATATGAAATTGGCTGAATTTGAGGGGAGTGAAGTGAGGTCAATTGTTTTTTGAGGGGACAGTGATTATTTGTGTCTACAAACAAGGATCTTCTGCATTACTATCAATTATCTTCAAGTTACAGAGTATGAAATTGCTCAGAGACAGTATAGGGGCAGAGACTCCATAGAATCAGAGACTCCAAATGGCTACTTCTGCATTGAAGATACCCAGCAATGTTTTCATTCATTTCAAAATCTTCTAGTTTCCAGCTTCCTAGCAGCCAAATGAAAGAGGAAATCAGCTTCAATGTGCAGTGTCCGTAAGGACAGATATACACTAATTGTTTGCAGCAAACCTAGCTTCACACAGATTGAGACTGGCTGCCCCTTCAGGAGGGCACTCCAAAAAATGAACACAGTGAGATAGAAAGCAACATCTTCCACAATATTCCTATCACAAGTATAGTGGTGACTGTCCAGTAGCTGCTGGGGCCACGGTTCTCAAAGTGGGTCCCAGAGTAGCAGCAGCAGCTTCACCTGAGGACTTGTGCACATTTTCAGGCTCCACCTGCACTTGCTGAGCAATCTGTGTTTTAACAAAACCTCCAGGTAGCTCTGATGCAAGCTGCAGTTCCAGAGTTATGGGACAAGAGTGCTCACCCTGCCTGTCGTATTAGAATTATCTACAAAACTTTGACCTGGTGTCACTCTGGGGCTGCTCCAGGGGAATCTGTGGGTGCAGGGTGGGTTCTGTGTATCTGCGAGGCTCCCCAGCTGGCTGTACTGTGCATTCAGAAGGGAGCCCTATTGCTGTCAACAGCTGAGGCCACCTTCTGCTCCAGAGAACTCCCGACCTGCACACTGGAGCTTAGTCAAAAACTGTGAGCACCTTCCTCCCTCTGTGTCTTCAACACCAAGCACTTCCCACAGAACTGGTGGATCCCAGACCCCAAAGATCCAAACGTGGACTCATTAGACTCCACTGGCTCCTGACCTCATGGAACCAGTACCTAATGGGAACTTTGGAAGTATCTGATGGCAACTCACGTAGGCAAGAGGAACGGGGATGGTGACAGGATGGCAGTGGTGCCCGTGACCTCTGCTGTATCCCAGTCTTGGGCTGTGTTCTTCTCCGCAGGTTGTGCGGGGCTGTGGGACAACATGAGCTGCTGGCCCTCCTCTGCGCCAGGACAGACTGTGGAGGTGGAGTGCCCCAGGTTCCTGAGGATGCTCACACGGAGCAGGAATGGTAACCACGCAACCCACGGGCCTGGCAAGTGGCTGTGGGGTGGCCCGTGGGTGGGACCTCAGCAATGGGTGAAGCAGTGGGGACAGGAAGTGGGTGAAATGCTGTGAGAGGATGCTTGCTGAGGATTGGAAGCCTCACTGGGGTGGAGAGGAGGAGCGGGCGGGAGGCAGGGTCCTGGGGAAGGTGTTGGGAAGCTGGCTTTGCTTTTCTCTGATCACTGTTTAGGAATGCCCTCCCACCCTCCCTCTCTTCTGTGTTCAGTCCCTTTAGCAGCCTGGCTGTGCTTCCTCCAGCCCCTGTAACTAGGCCCCACATGGTAGTGCCAAGTGACCTGGCCTTAAGGAAGGGTCACTTCTTTCACCTCTTCTACCGGGTTTTACATATGCGTGAGCTCATTAGTCATGACAAACCCCTGCACATCACATACTTTTTTCTCAGCTCCAGTAACTCACTTGACCCAGTGAAGAGTAATTTAAAAACATGGACTAAGAGGTTTGGTACTTTGCCTCAAAGTTCTCAGCAACAGGTAGAAACACTAAGTGCCAGTTTCAAAACTGGTGCGGTCCCTGAGGGCATGGTCAATGTGGCTCTAGGCTCCCTAGATCAGAGTGGCCCTGGGATGATGTAAGGCAGGTTCATGACCTTTCGCCTTTCTTGGTGATGGTCCTTTGCAATCTCTTGCCTGGCCTGGCCTGGCCCTGCTGCTCCCTCCCTTACTTATGGAGGGCAGGAAATTCACACCCAAAAAGGCCCTTCGCAGAAACAAATCAAGAACAAAACCCAGTGGCCTTACAAAGCCAGGCAAGGAAAAGATGGCCAAGGAGACTGGTGGTCCACTTGCTATGACCGTCACAGTCACCCAGGAGAATCAACCTGAGGATCAAAGGTTAAGTTTGATCCACTATTTTTGAGGGTTAGGCCCATGGCTGGTTGGCTTGTTGTTTTGTACGAGTGATGAGGTAAAACATCATGGTGAGGAACAAAGATGGTGGGAAACAGCAGAGAGAGAGAGGGAGAAAGAGAGAGACTAATGTCCTAATTATCCCTTTCAAGGGCACACGTTCAGTGACCTAACTTCCTCCCACTAGGGCCCACCCCTCCCCATCACAGCAAACAGAGGACTAAGGTTTTAAAACATGGGACTGTGGGGTGCAATCCATACCCAGACTAAAGCAGAGTTCCTGAGCTCTGGGACAAGAGTGTAGATTCTTCTCACTGTAATTTTTTAGTATGCACAGCACAATATGCACACCATATCATGCTCTTGTGCACACAAGCACACACACATACACAGAGACTTGAGAAACGTGGTGCTGTAACTCACTGTCCCTCAGCCTCACTTGACAGCCTGCAATACAGGAATGTGGGGGACCAGGTGGAAGAGACTGAACCCCATTCTTCCATTTATTGATTTGGAACATTATCCACTGGAACAAACAAACCCCTCAGATCTCAAAGCCTCTGCACGATGTTGGCCTACATAAAATCCAAGACAGTATCTCTGTTAGCAGACAGTGTCCCCCATGTCCTGTTGCGATGCTGAGTTCCTATGTCTTTCCACTGTGGCTTCCACATCCAGGTCCAGGCTGGCTGCCGAAAGGATCAGAGGGCTATACAGGCAGGCTGAAGGCCACCCTGACAGGAATACCTCTCTGCCCGCATTCCTTCAGCCAGAACTGTCCTACAGCGGTGACACCTACCTGCAGGGGACACATGGAAATGCAGTTTAGTGGGATGCTCTTCGCCTTATGGCTCAAGTGGCTCATTGTCACTCAACCTCAATTTTTTTTTATCTATAAAGCAGTGTGTGTGTCAGGGGGTGGGGTTAATACCTATCTTGCAAGGCTGTGCTTGGAAACTGGCTAGCTGTTCTTTGTCCCTTCTCCCATGCTCTCCTTCCCTGTCCTCCTTCCACCTGAACCCCTCCTCTTTCACGTGTACACCTGCAAACTCATCAGCTGTCCTTACCTCTGCCATGACCTCTCTGCATCGGTCAGGCTCTGTGGAGCTAAGGGCCCAGGATGTGAGTGAGGAGTGGCTGACCCGGAGCGGCAGGCAGGACAGGTGCAAGGCCAGGGCTAGGCCTGGTCTCTGACTCCTGCCCAGGCTCCATCCGTGAGCTTCTCCTCTGCTGGGAAGAACTTGGAGCTCTCCCTTCCCAGCCCCTCTTCAGAGCCTCCCGGAGCTGTAGTGTCTTAATCGTCCCTCCCATAACCCTCCTGTAGAGACCAATCAAAGCCTGTGCCATCGCCACACAGGTGACCGAGTCCCAGCCCCGTCACAGACCTCACTAGTGAACTGATTAAAGTCCCACCTACCTTATTAACAAGAAGCCTGCTGTCTCCCTCTTCAGGGCCCCTCTCTTCACCCTTGAACTGCTCATGACCCACTGGGTGCCTGTTTGTGTTGCTCCAGAATGAAAGCTGGAGTCCCTGTGGCTGCCTCCGCTGCTGTTTCATCGATCCACCACACAGCGTCACTGTGGGGCCGCAGGTCCACACCGAGCCCCTGCCTGCCTGGCATTGCCGCCTGCTCCTGGGGAAGTAGGAAGGGTGGTCTTAGCCTGTTCATCCCTGGCCCCTGAGCGCTGACTGACCCAAGTGCATAGGTCAGAACCTGCCCAGCCTTGGCCCTCATCAGGAACCTTTTCTCCCTTTGACCTGCCTCTGGGTCTCATGAGACTTTCCGCCTTAACTCCCATCAGGAAGGAAAGCTTCCCCACCAGTCACACCCCGGTCCTGACTCCAGCCCGAGAGGAGTGCCCAGTGAAGACAGGGTGGTGTCCTGGACACCTCCTTTGGAACAAAGAAAAATAAATTCTAAACTTAATTCATAAATAAATTCTTTCCAAGGGTACTCACCAGATGGACCAGGAGAGGGTGAGCATCTGTGTGGGGGAGAAACCAGGGGCTGCCACCTGCCCCAGATAGTTCTCATGCCAGGACTGCCATGTCCCCTCTAGCGTGCATTCCTTTGATTCTGGAAAGGGCTTCAGCCTTCTGGATCCTTTATTAAAAAGCACATTTCTGGACGGAGTCAGGCCTGCGTTCTCTATCCGCTCTGGCTTAGCGGAGGTCTGGCTTTTCAGCAGTAGTGAGTCCTAACCTTGTTTGGGTCCTGGAGACTTGAGAATCCCATAAAAGCTTTGGACTGGCTCTTCCTCAAACTGCACATTGTGAATGCACAAATGTACTGACAGCTTTGGGGTATCCTGGGGTATACAGTGGCCTAGGTCTGGTTAAGCAATCCTTACTATGAGGAATTATGCACAGGGAAGTGGGTACCATTGCAGGGACGCCAGAGAGTACCCAACCCTATCTCTTTTGAAGCTCTGCGGGTGGCTCTGTCTGGTACTGAGTGAGGAGCCGCTGCCTGGTCAGCAGCTCTGGACACCCAGTTTGGTCACATGCAGATCTCGAGAGATCCTCATGAGATCCTTCTCATGAGAGAGCTCCCCGGCCCAGACAAACAGGTAGACTGCTTGGGGCTGAGAGCACAGAAAGCCACTTCTAGTCAGACACTATTGGCTGACCTTCGGCCCTAAGATCAGGGATGTTTGTGTTACCATCCAACAAACCCAAATGTGACAGCACTGCTCCCTTAATTCAATTTCCCTTACCTTCCTTCTCTTAATTCCAAGTTTCCTGTCCACACCTTCTTCCTTTGGAAAAGCCAAAAAATGGAGCCAGGTGCTGGTGTGGGCCCTGTTCACCCTTGTGCTGCGGGTGCTCCTTCCTGTGTGGCTCAGAGACAAAGAAGTGATGTGTGTAACAGCATACAGTGACCAAGAGGCAGCACTGGATTTTGAAGTCAGATCGGACTGCTTCTAGACCTGTGCTCTTGGCCTTCTGAAACTTTGGGCATATCCAGAGCCCAAAGGACATGGTATCCAGAGACTAGAAACCACCCTCAGACCACAGGGGGAAGCCAGGGGTGATGGGATAGATACTGGTTGGGCACGGAGGCCCAGATCTGGGCCTTGGATTTCTGGTTGGCAAAATAGGCAGGATTAGATCCGAGTCCATACAGAAAGCGCTGAGCAGAGTGGCTGGCTCTGGAACAGCCAGCTGTGTTCTCCAGCTCCATGGAACCCACTGGACCCTGATCTTCGTGAGTGGTGGCCTGGCCCCTGGAGTCCATGAGAGAGGAATATGCCCAGCCCAGTGTGTTGTTAAGGTGACCCTGGACTGGGCTCCCACACACAGGATTTGGTGATCAATGCCCTCACTCTGTGATGCCCTCACCAGCCAGCCAGGGAACCATACCTTGGTCTTTTTTGGTGGCACACGACACAGATGGCATCTGGGTCACTCAGTACAAGGAGGGCAGCTCTTCCCAGGGATGCCAGGCCTTCCCTCCTAGCCAACAGCTTCTACCCTAATCTTTGGGCTCTGGCTTTGAAAGCTCCAGTGAGCACAAGGGGTGCAGGTCAGTGATAATGTGTGTGCGTAGTGTGCATGAAGCACTGTATTTGACCCCCAGCAACACACACACACACAGACACACACACACACACACACACACACACACACACACACACGCACACAACTGCAGTGGAAAACTCCTCTCCTGTCAGTACCAGTCCTCAGACCCATTCACGTGCCTTTGTGTTTAGTCAGCCAGCCAGTGTGGAGGCCTAAGGACCCTGGGGCCCCCACTCAGGAGGCCAGAAGCAACTGTGCTTCTAGCAAGAGGAGGTAACCTGCATCTTTGTGCTGGGCATGTGGGATATCCAGAATTGCAGTTGTCTCCGTAGGGAGCCTGGGTACCATGGCCATCCCTTCTGCAAAGGGCAGCTACCTGGAAGGGTTTTCTCAGTAGCGCTCTCGTGGTTTCCAAGTGGCCAGGTGAGCATGGTGTAGAGTTAGAAACAGAACTTCCTCCCTGAGCAGGATCTGTAAGGGCAAGAGCCTGAGGAGAGTTCACTGTAGGAGTGGCCAGGTCTTGGCAACTGCCCTAGTTGCTCTGGGGACGAGAGTAAGGGTATGAAAGGGGAATGGTATTCAGTGTATGGTGGGAATTTGGGCCTTGGAGCTCAGGGTTCCAATCTCCTTTCCTCCTCACTAGGGCAAGTTACTTACCCACTGCCAGCCTCAGTTTCCCCAGCTATCAAATGATAATAGTACTTACTTGTTACCATAGAGTCTTTTATAAAAATACGGTGCCTGTTCCCCAATATTCACCTGCAGGCTTCTTGGCACCCACAGGTTCTCTGTTCCGAAACTGCACTCAGGATGGCTGGTCAGAAACCTTCCCCAGGCCTGACTTGGCCTGTGGGGTTAATGTGAACGACTCTTCTAATGAGAAGCGGGTAAGCCTGTCAAACGCCACCATGCCAGTGCTGGCACAGGGTCTGCAGCGTGACAGGGCCTGAGCACGTACAGAGGAAGCCAGCACAGGCAGGAGTCAGGGCCTGGGTTGCCTTCAGCCCCTACTTCCCCTACTCACTCAGGTACAATATCTAGCTTCATCACCTCGGGATGAAGGTCAGGAGGACTCTGGGTACTGTGAGCTTTGTTCTTTAAACCAAAAGAGAAGCTAGATGTAGTTAAATGCTCAGAGCCAGGCTGGTGTGTGAATGTGTGTAAATCCTGGCCTTGACCGTGGTGGGCCCAGAGAGAACTTAATTGCTGTGTGCCTTGGTTTCTTCATCAAGAAAATGGGTTCAAAATAATTCTGACTGCATAAGCATCAAGGGAAGCAAATGACTTAATGCAGGGAGATGCTAAGGTATATAGTTTGTGTTTGCCAGGAACTGTGGACTGAACTTCAGAGGCTCCTGTTTAGGGCCACTCTCGGGGATGGGTCACTTGTTTCTTCCCAGGACAGCCATGTCCCTAGAGACTTACATAGACTTGTGAACCCTTTAGAACTCTCTGTGGGGACAGAACTTCCCCGACATGTTTTTGCCACCAATTCTTACACATTCTTCGTGACTCTGCTTGGGACCTGACTCCAGCCCTTTCTTCTTTCCCCTTTCTCCAAGGAAAGGCCCTTCTGGGCTATGTCCCAGCATCTGACTGTGCCGTATCATGTTTGCAAAGCCTGTGTCACATGATCCCTTGTGTCTCACTAAAATTCAAGCTCCCAAGGCTCACATTCATTCACTCAACAAATATTTACTGAGCACCTATTAGGAGTGATATGCCCTGCAGTGATAGACCAGAAAATTGTACTCACTTCCAGGTCATCAGTGCCCAGCACATTGCCCAGCACCTGTAAGGTGTCTGATAAATATTAGCCATTAGGCTTGTAGTTATGACTGAGACCTTGGGTGCCATCTTCGGCAACCTGCCCTGACCAGAGCTTGTTCTGTAATCTGCCATGTGATAGCTCCTTGATGTAAGTGGTGTTAAATGCTCAGGATCACCTGGCAGATTCGAGGTTCCATTGAACAAAAGTTCTGTTTGTTCCTTGCAGTGTCCCATTTGCAGATGAGGAAATTGAAGCTAGTGGGTTTAAGGAACATGCTTATCAAATAGTGGACAGGAATTTCACCAAGTTAAGCCCCAGAGAGCCAGCATTCGGTGTCCTCTCTCTTCTGTCCTCTCACTGTTAAAGGGCGGTCCTTGGGAGGTGCATCTTTAAGCTCTTTCAATAGCTGAACACCAGTTGGGTGTTCAGGGAGAGAAGTTTGTTTGTCTCTTGGGTCGAGGTGGGGGTTGTTAGAGAAGTTTGGAGAGGGAGGATCAGAGTTAAGGGAGAAAGGATGAAGTGGGGTGGCAGGCATGCCCACTTGGGCATATTTTCTGAGATTCCTCTTTTCTAGTCAGTCCATGTTGTCCTCTCTGAAAGGGGTTAGGCAGGGGTCCAAAGAAGGGATGATCTGGTTTCTTCTCTTTCTTGTCACCTAGTTGGGGAAAATACACGAGGCCTTTGGATCTGGCCAGTGTGGAGCAGGTTAACAGTGGCCAGGAGTAATCAGGGGATGTATCCAGTCTGGGAGAGGTGGTCAGTGGGCTCTGTCCTCTGCTGATAGCCATTTGTATCACTGATTATATGAATGAAGACCAGGACTTAGGTGCATCGTCCTTGTAAAATCTACAGCTCTATGAAGTAGTAGTCTTAGGACAGGTGGCAGGCTGGCGGGCCAACAGGATGCTTTGGGTTACAAATAAATCAATAGCTAATTTAATAAGAAAGTGAGACTCATGTACTAGGGAATGCAGAAAATGGGCTTCGGAATTCTTTGATGAAGAAACACAGCAAAGCCGCCAAAGACCAGGTTGTTTCCCCTCCCTACCATCTTGGTGGTGTCATCCTGGGGTTCCTGCCATCAGTGATGGCAGCTACAGATAGCCCCATTCCTGTATCCTTAGAAGGACACCCTGGCTGTGATTCTGTCCTAAGAGCAGGGACCTTGTTTTCTCTAAATTCCAGGAAGCTTGTCCTTGAATTGCATTGGTCCAAAGTGATTTAGGCCTTCCCACCCGGAACCAATCATTGGCAAAAGACTAGGATATATGATTGGGTTGGGCTAATGGTTTTCAAATTCTTTGGTCTTGTAATTTCTTTATACCCTTAAGAATTACTGAAAGTCCCAAAGAGATTTAAGTGTTGTGATTTATATCTGTCAAAAGCACACAATGAATACACATGGCCTAGATTAGTCAGCTGGAAAGAATGAAGCCTGGAGCCTTAACCACAAGGTCTGTGGGGAGGTTGCAACTGTAAAATCCCCAACCGTGGGGCTGAAATGTAATGAAGGTTATGCAAAGCTGTGGACTTAACTCTGAGGCTGTTGGCGGGGGCTCTGGACCCTGAGTCCTCAGGGTTGGTGCACAGCTGCAGATGTTGAGAGCAGAGGATCCAAGAGTTACATTGAGGGAGTAGGGCTCTTCCTGGGTCACCCAGCCAGCAGTGACCACAGCCGCGAGACAGTGTAGGCTATTTGGCTTCACATTCTACACATGTCACCCTGAGCTTCCTTGGTCTCCTGCAGTCTGGTCCAGGAAGGAGCTGTTATGAGTTTCATCCTATATGTAGCAAGATTATAGGATGATATGTGGGTCCCTGTTGTTTCACAGGTCTTTGGTGTCCCAAATAATAGGAATCATTCATGTAAAGTAACTAAGTGCCTTTACAGCCTCTTCTCTTCATCTGTAAGAGGGGATCCTGGCTTCTGGGAGAGTGGTGGCATCGGGGAAGCTCAACATCATGTAGCTGTCATCCTGTCATTACTTCTTGTTGTCAAAAAGCTTTTCATTATGGGCTGCCAAGGTAGCTCAGTAGTACATCACTTGCCTAGCTTGTGTAAGGCCCTAGATTCCAGTATTACAAAAATAATTAGTTTTGGTGACATTAAGTCAAAAAATGTCTACTTCCACTATAACTCACACTTGAAATTTTGCCTTTCTTTGTCTTTGGGGTTAATAATTCTACTGTTTTCTTCCCCAAATTTTTTTAAAATTTTATTTTAAAGAGGATAAAACCAAGATAAATAAAACCAATCAAAAACCAGTATAAGTGATATAGGACTTTGAAACCCTACGAAATCAACCAGTTACCATAATGCTTTTTGTTGTCTTCAAAATAGCTACAGATACCTTCACACATAGGAAAAATCAAATAGAACAGAATAGGATAGAAACAATAAAAATTACACAATGAATGTAATAAAGGACATCAAAACAAGCCAATAGTAATCCAAAATGGCCACTATAATATGTCTTGCTATCTTTTAAATAGCTGCTCATGCCATCAAATGTAACATAAACAAAACATAAGAGAGAAAAATCCAACCCAACAAAATAACAAAAATGATACAGTTTCCAGGCGGGGATGGCTTTCTAGTGAGGCCTTGTTCTCTCCCGCTGCAGTCTGCGGATGGTGCTGACTCACAGAGAGAGGCTTGGGTCTCAAAGTTGTTTTCCCCTGTGGTGTAACACACCGGATTTTCTCCTACACTCTTCAAATGACACAATTGCTTTCCTCCTGAATTTCTCCAGTTTATTAATGTGCCTCTTAAAATAATGTGTCCAGACCTGGACACCACATTCCCAACATTCTGGCCTGGCCAGCTGCTCACAGCACTCCATCAGCATAACTGAGAATAGGCCTAGTTTTTTTAGCAGCTACCTCATACCCCGGACTTCATACCATCTCATTCCACTGACTTATTCTGAAGGGCAGAGAGAGGTGGAGAGAAACACCACACACTGAGTCTTCTAAATGCCAGGCCTTGTCTATATGTTGTCAGTCTTTTTTTTCCTCCCAGTCAGAATTGTGGAGCCAATTCCAAGACTGAGCACCAACTGAGCAGTGAAGGAAACTTTTAATTTTGGCCAATAGGAGAAGTGAGAGATACACTCAAAAATCAACTTTTGGACCAGTGGAAGTTGGGAAAGCTATAGATACGGAGTAAAAAAGATGAGCAGGAAGAGTAGGGTAATAAAGAAGAATAGTCATATCTTTTCTGGAGATGGGTGGAGGTTTTCTGGGAACTTGGGAGCCTCTGTTCTCCTTGTACAGCTGAGTCTGATGGTCCAGAAACTTCCCACAGGCATGGGTTGAGGGGGCTGTCCTTCAGAATGCAAATGGCATTATAAGAAACATAGAGGTCGGTGGCCAGTCACCCTGGTAGCCATCTTGGTTCTAACCAGTTTGCTTTGCCCCTGTGAAGAGGGACCTCCAGCCTAGAGGCATCTTGTCCTCAAAGATAAACAGAACTCTGGGGGTGGGATAGAAATGAGCCGTCAGGCAGGCAGTTCGAGACTGGAGCAGGCTAACGTAGATACGCCATCTGCTGTCTTACTGGCTCTCTCAACAGGCTTCAAGGTAGATATTATTACCCCTATTCTGAAGAGAGGACCCTGGGGCTTGATGAGTGACGGAACTTATCCAGGACAGACAGCTCAGGAGTAATACCCTGGGTTGGAAGGCTCATCTCCTGGCTCTAAAGACTGTGTTCTTTCTCTGCAGCGCGTTGACACGGTGGAGCTCGGGCTGTGCTAACCTCATGCGAACAGCGTCAGCCAGCTTTCCCTTCTACTACTCTTGTGTCTTTTTAAAAAAAAATTATTTTTCTTTTGTCTATAAAATAACACCCACTGTAGGCAAATTTAGAAGTACAGAAAAAATATGAAGGACAATAACAGCTTTATTGATAAACCTATAATCCAGAGTTAACCACCATTAACATTTAATGGATCTTCCTAATATGTCATATATGGGGATCAAATCCCATAAAATGGTTGCTATCTGATCATTTTGATGAACAAAAGAAGGGCAATTTCATATCATTCAACCCGATGCTTTTCTTATGGCTGGTATCACGCCACACATGTGAAATGTGTATTTTGCCTTTTCACATAACAGCAACATGTTCTGACTTCATTAAAAGCTCTAGAAGAACATTTTAGCAGTGAGAATTTCAAGTCATTTGAGTTTAAAACAATTCAGTTAACTACGCTGTTGATGGACATTTGGGGTTTTCAAATCACAAACCGTACTGTAACAAATATCTTTATGTATAAATCTGCTTTTATGTTCTGACTATAGTCCTCCATTGGTATCTGCAGAGGATGGGTTCCAGGTCCCTACAGATTCCTAAATCAGAGGATGTTCAAGTCCCTTCCATAATGTCACATCAGACTTATGCACATTTTCCTTTACACTTTAAATCATCCTAGAGTGACTTATAATGTCTAAATCAATGTAAATGCTGTTTAAGCAATTATTGCTGTGTTGTTTAGGGAAGAGTATTACGACAAAGTCTGTAAAAGCTCAGTACAAAAACAATTAAAAAATATTTCTTGTCATGGTTAGTTGAATCTATGGGTGCGCATTCCACAATTACAGAGGAATAGCTATTTCTTAAAGTTAATTCATGGAATCAAAGGGAGGACCAAAGAAATAGATATTTTGGCTGGGCATGGTGGTGCATGTCTGTAATCCCAACACTCTGGGAAGCTGAAGCAGGAGGATCACAAGTTCAAGCCCAGACTAAGTGGCTTTAGCAACTTACCAAGACTCTCCCAAATAAAAAATAAAAATGCATTGGGGATATAGCTCAGTGTGAAGGTCTGGGTTCAATTCCCACTACTGAACAAACAAACAAAGAAATGATTATTTCAAAAGTTCTTGGTATATATTTCCATATTACTTTCCAGACTGAACCAGTTCTTCTCTCCCACTATACCCTCCACGGATAGAACATTATTACTTGCATTATTTGTTCATTTGGTTGATTACAAAACTATCATTGCTTTTTAGCTCCCTTTCCTTTAGCTGATGGTTCTGATATACTTCTTTCTGGTCAGAGAATTTATCTGGAGCTTTTCAACAATGGGATTCTGGGAATCCTAGCTAAGGACACTGACAAATGGGAGCATATAAATTAAGTGGCAAAATGTGTGGGAGGATGTTAAACACAGAGCATGAGTGCTAAGAAGAAGGTGAGGGACTCTTGTACAAAGAAATCTTCATTTAAAAACAATAAACCTCTGTATAACCTGTGAAACTTTTCTATTTAAAATTGATCTTAGGTATATTACAAACTTAAGTTTACTTTCACTGGTTCCAGATAGCAGAAAAAGGACCAATAGTTGCAATATAAAAGTTGCCAATTTTACCTTCACATTAAAATAGCTGATATTGTATACCAAAATGACTGTCTCAAAAAACAGTGAGCTCCTTGTCCCTACACATATGCAAGCATAGGAGCATATTAAGCTCCTGTGTCCAGAGGTATGTGAGTGCCGCCTGTTGGTAAGGGGGTCCATAGAGTATGGATGTTTGAGTAGGCAGCAGATGACCCCCCAAGAACTGGTCCAAAGCAGAGCGTTTGGACGTTATGCATCTGTGCATGGCTTCCTTGGGTGTGAACAGCATAGCAGCCAGGGCTGGGGGCTTACCCTGGCGGAAGCAGGTGCACTGAGGCACAGAGGGGCTGGCCAGGTGGTTGGGCAGGGCTGACGTACATCTCTCCTCAGCACGCGTTCCTGCTGAAGCTGAAAGTCATGTACACCGTGGGCTACAGCTCCTCCCTCGTCATGCTCCTGGTTGCCCTCAGCATCCTGTGTGCTTTCCGGTGAGAACAGACTGCCATGTCTTATCTCTAACCCCTTCTGAGGCAGACTTTTGGTCTCTGCTTAATGGCTTAGGACAGAAAGAGGCAGGTCTGGGTGGGCTGCCTTGTTATCTCTCCATCTGAATATTTCCCAGGAAAAACTGATTTCTGGGGGCCACATTAAATCTATTCCTTCAGCATTCAGTGAACACTAGTGAGACTTTAATGAGGCCAGCTGCTTCACATCTATTATTTCTAATTTTCTCAGGACGTGGTAAAATGGCTGTTACTACCTCCACTTAGCAGGTGTCTAGTGGGACTCTCAGTTGCCAGAGACAGAAATCCACCTCAGAGCAGTTTTAAGAAAAACGTCACTGTTGAGTTCAGGGGCATCTACTTTAGTCACGGCTGGGTGCAGGTGCTCAGGGCCACAGCAAACCTGGGTCTGTTTCTCTTCATTCCTGAACTCTGTATTGGTCTCATCCAGGGCAGGCTTTTTGCAGAGGTGGAAGGGACAGCCAGCAGCAGCTTAGGGGCAGATTTTACCAGCTCAGCAAAACCAGGACAGACAGCCTCTTTCCCTTTGGTTCTAGTACAAGTTCCAAGGAGTTCTGTAGGCTCAGTTAGGTCACATGCCCCACTCTGAACCAACCATTATGGCCAGAAATGGAGAAAGATTTCTGATTGGTCAGGTCTTTCATCCAGTCAGCCCCAGTTAAAGTGTAATGTGTTCTCCATAAGAAATCTGGTGTCTGGGGAACAAATAACAGCCTTTGGGGCTTTACAACAGAAGAACCAATATTGAGGGCCAGAGATGATGGCAGGATAGAATATATGTTGGCCCTACACATTTAGCTTTAAAAAAAAAAAGACCCCCCCCCCCAAACCAAACCCTACAGTATGGATGCCATTGGGCAACTGGGGCTGGGGGTCCTCTTGCAAGTTGTTCTAACAGAGTTGTGACCCATAAGGGGCTGGTATCCAGGGCCTCAGTTTCCCCAGGATGGGCAGGCAGGGCAGGCCTGGGTGAGTCCCCATAGCCTTGCTCTCTCCCTCCAGGAGGCTCCACTGCACCCGCAACTACATCCACATGCATCTGTTCATGTCCTTCATCCTGCGTGCCCTGTCCAACTTCATCAAAGATGCTGTGCTGTTCTCCTCAGAAGACGTGACGTACTGTGATGCCCACAGGGTAACATGCCTGCCTCTCCCAGCCTAACTTTAAAACGGGTCTAAGCCCAGTTGTGCTAAAGCTTTCTCCTTCCAAATGCTCAATTTGCAACAATTACTGATTTGCAACAATTACTCTGTGTCACTTAAGAATCATTTTACCCTGGAATAGCAAAAGACCACTCATCAGAGGTTGAAACAAGTGGTGGATATTTCCCACATAAGCAGCTCATAGATGGAAAATCCAGAGATGCACAGTGTCTCTGATGTTATGAAAGACAGAATCTGTTTCTGCTCTGCCATCCTTAGGGGAGGCCTTGGTCTCAGGCTTTATGCCTCATGGTTGTAATATGGCTTCTGCAACGTCTGGCTTCATACCCATGATCTAGTAAAGGAGGGAGGTCAAAGGTCAAGCATTTTGCTTTCTAGGAGGCTTCTTTTTCTCCCCAAAGACTCCTCCCTATACTTTACTGACAAGAACTGTGAAAACTGGGAGATTCTTTTATTGTCACAGTCTCTGTAGCCGAGGCTAGCAAGGGAGAGAGACTGGAAATTGAGCCTGATTCAGTCAAGCTAGCTGCCACTTCCCTCCAGTCACATCTGTTTGGGTTGGAGAGAGGGGTGGGAGAAGAGAGAGAACACATTTGCTGACTCATACTAAGTAGCATCTTGCAAGAATCTGTGTCTCTCCAGGATCAAACAAGAGGCCCAGCCTGGGAGACTTCAATTCCGCCCCCTCCCATAACTGAGCAACATTGGCCAAGTCTGGCAAGGCCCGGTAGGGAAACTTCTCAGGTTTCACTAACCATTAGACTCACAAGCCAGGCTCTGGGAAGACCATTAACACAGGACCACGGCTGGCCAACAGTGGGCTCCTGGACCCTCTTCTTGCATGGGTTTTTGTCCCATAGTAGTCCATGCACAGTTCTAGAGCTATCCCAGGAAATGTCTTCTCCCTGGAGGACAGCTCAGCACAAGGAGGAAGATTCGCATAGTGCAGGAGCTAGAGTGGCACTGGGGTGGCGGACTCCGCTCCATAATGCCCTGGGCACAGCCCAGGCAGCCCTGCAGGGGACATACCATTGAAAGAGTCACCCAGTGTGGCTTCCCTCTTGGTTATTTGGAGGTCTCCAGTCTGGGTGACATGTGCCAGTCAGGGGTCTTTTCACCACAGTCACTGTTGCCACCTGGCAGAGCTGGCACAGCCCTTCACCTTGTTTCCAGGGACACTGAGCTTAGAGAGCTTGTCGTCACCTTGGCTCAGAAACTCCTTCCCTCTCTGACCTTCAGAGTCCTTATCAGACTAACGAGGGAGTTGGGTAATATCAGATACAACTTTTCAAGAGGAAGAATTCTTCCTCACCAAGTCTGGCAGCTGGTTCAAGAATTTAAAACTACTTCCTGTGATGCCTCCTTGGCCATCTTGACTGAATCCATGGGCCTGTGGACTTCTCTAGAAAATTCTGTGGGCCTGGTCTCCTGACAGAGAAAGGCCACAAGAGATAGATTTGAACCCCGAGGCTTTCCCTGTGGCCTGGCCCTGCTTCTGCCTTGCCCTGCTGCTTTCTTTGTGGCTGGTCACCGGAGGAAAGCCCATCGCCACCTAGCCTGGCCTCACCTGCCTCTCTCTGTCCAGGTGGGCTGTAAGCTGGTCATGATCTTCTTCCAGTACTGCATCATGGCAAATTATGCCTGGTTGCTGGTGGAAGGCATCTACCTTCACACGCTTCTCACCGTCTCCTTCTTCTCACAAAGGAAGTGCCTTCAGGAATTTGTGGCCCTTGGATGGGGTATGTTTCTCTACCGCATCGGATGTGTGGTAAGCAGGACAGGGACTGAGCTGACATATGGATCTGGTTTCTAGTTCCAGCTCCACATCTAACTAATTTTTCTAATTTTCAGCAAGTTGCTTAATGTTTAGCTTTCCAGTCATTTATCTGTAAAATGGAAATATAGCTAAAATTCACTCCCAATTTCTGACACCCAAAGCCATTTCCAATTTGGTTCTACCCAATATTTGTTGCCTTCTCTTCATAACCAGTTCGTCTTTCTTCATAAGTCGTCTTTCTTGCTGTATGCATCAGGAAACTTTCAAATGCTGATATCAAAAGACTATACAAGAAAAGGAAATTAATTGATGTAAATGACAAGCCCAGGGATCACCCACCTCAAACAGGTTGAATCCAGCATTTAACAATAAATTCTTCTGTCTCTCCCTTGCTTTTTGGTTTATCTTCTTCTCCTCAGGCTGGTGCTCCCAATGTAATTGCCAGAAGCTTCTGGGCTACGTGCTTCTTTGTTATTTAGATATAATAAGAGAAAGATATACCGGGTTCCAGCTTTCTGAAGAAATATTCTGAGCTTCACGCTGCTTGGACCACTTAAATCTCATACACATCCTTAACCTAATCACAGAGATTTGAGAGAATGGAATATGCTGAGTGGTGTAAGCTACTCACAACATACAGCTTCCCAAAGGAAATTCAGGTTCGGATTTTAGGAAAGAGAGAAGATGATAGCAAGGAAGCCACCAGTAGGCCCTGGTGACATCTCTTCCGCTTTTCCTTCTTGGTCAAAGAATAAGGTTTTAAAAAAAAAAAAAAAAACCTTCGCATTTTTTTCTTTTGGTACCAGAGCTCCAACTCACAACCTCCTGCTTGCCAGGCAGACACTCATGCCACTGAGCTAAATCCCCAGTCCCTGCCCTCCCATTTCTTAAGCACATACTATATGTCAGTCTCTGGGCTCAGCACTTTACTCGGATCATTTAATCACACTGCAACCTCCAGTATCATCTTAGAGACCTCACTGCAGAGACATGGGACATAATATGTTCAACTCACACTGTAAAGACCAGACCCAGTATTCAAATCAAAGCCTGTCAATGTCTAAAGCATTTTGACTCTTACCCTACCATTTACAAATATCCATCCATTTGTCCATCCACCCATCCATCCACTTACCCATCTTCCCATTCACCTACTTACTCATCTACCCTCTGACCTATTCACCCATGTACCCATGAACCCATCCATCCATCCACGCAGCCATCTACTTGTCCATCCATCCATCCACCCATTTATCCATGAACAGATGGGTGGGTAGATGAATAATCCACTCACCCACCCATTTACCCATTTATTCAGCCATCCATCCACCCATTGTTCATTTGATAAACATACATTTAAGTTATCCACTGAGTTCTGGGCAAAAAGCCACGTTCCTGTGAGGAAACCTCTTGGCTTATAGAGATAATTATGTGTCCCAATCATAAGCTTCATTTGGTTTTCTCCTGGTACCTTTAATTAAGAAGGTTCCCTGCCAGGAATGCCCTTACCTGCCTTTTCTGCTTGTCTAAATCCTTATATGCAAGGACCTAGTTCCCGTTATACTACCAGCAGGGAGGCCACCTGAACTGGAAGAGCACACTAAGCTCTCCTGCTTCTGAACTTTTGTAGCACATGACCCTCAGCTGGCAGGAGCTAGGACTGTGCAGATGTCTGCAGAGCCAGCAATCCCAGAGGCCAGGAACTTGCCTTAGGCAGTTGATTACCAAATAGCACTCCATTTGGGGGCTCCATTCATTGAGCTTTGAAGCCTAAATCTGCTAGAATTTAGCTGTATTGACATATGTCTTAGTTACTTTTCTCTCATTGCTGAGACATAATATCTGATGCCCAATGTTACAGTGGGAAAGGTTTATTTAGCTCACAGTTTTTGGAGGTTTCAGTCAATAATTGGCTGGCTACAAGGCAGGGTGGAACATGGGAGAAGGGCAGAAGATTGTAGCAACAGAAGACACCGAAAGCAACAAGAGAGGAGGGAAGGGCAAGCCTCTTTCTCTCCTTGATACTGTGTGCAGGCTACCTGCAGTAGGGTGGTGTAGCATTCATACCCTTAATCCCAGGGTCAGACCCTGAATCAATCACAAACTCTAGATTCAGCCACCTCTGAAAAGCCCTCCCCCGATGGCTGCCTGAGGCTTTGGGGAACATCTAGACAGAAACCATACGTGGATAGATTCCTGGTCTATATCAGAGTCATGGTTTTCTCAACATTCCTTGAACACTTGTTTTTATTCAGAGATTACAAAAATATAGAGGGCACAAAGAAAAAAAGTCACACAAAGGATTTGTAGTCCAGTTGGGAGACAAAATTACATTGTAATAATATGTATTTATAAGTTTTAAAAAGATTTACATGAGGTGCAGAAAACATTCTTTTCTTCTTTAAACATTTATATGCCAAACCCTGTGTTGGGCTCTAGGGATTGCATAGTGTACACAATACCAGTGATTCCTTCTATTTGGGCTGTCTCTGCCTGTGAAACCACAAAGCAACTTTCGTGAAGGGGCTCTGAAAGACCTAAAGCCTCTCTACCTGTGAGAATAATTTCTCATGCAAAAGCAATGGCCTTGCCTCAATTTTCCTTAGAGTTGCTTGCATGGGTACATTCCCCATATAAAACTGTGCAAGGAAAGCAATGCTTTTCTTTTTTTGTCTCCTGTCGTCTCCTTTCTTCTCCCCTCTCCTCCCCTCCCTTGCCTCCTTCCATCTTTCAGAAGACTGGAAATTGAACCCATGGTCTTTGCGGCATCTCCAGCCTGATTTTTATTTATTTTGAGACAGGGCCACATAAAGTTGCTGAGTAGCCCAGGCTGGGCTCACTGTGGGTTTTTAATGCTTAGTCAAAGCTCTTGTTTTTTTTAGTGGCTGAGATGTCAATCTCTGCCCAGGTAAGAGTGATACCTCTGGCTTCCATGGGGGGTGAAGTTGGGGAGGCGGTGGGGTGGGGTGTGAGCTTTGTTCCCAGTCAGCAACTGAACATGAACCTGTGCTCTGTTGGTTCTGCATCAGCATCACTGGAGCACTGGTCCACCCAGCTTGCTGGGCCCCTGCCCAGACTCTCTTGAGTCAGTGCATTGAGGGCAGGACCTGAGACCACGTCTATACTGTTCCCCAGCAATGCCGACTGTTAGTCCAGGAACCATCTGGGGACCACTGACTTAAACAACTATCACCTTTTAAAGCCAGCAGCTATTCAAAGATGGGAGACAGACAGCTAACAGATGGCCCCTTGAAATCTGTGGTCAGTACTGAGAGCACTCAAAATTGAGGCAAGGATTTCTTTTTTAATTTTTTCATTTTTCTTCTCTTTTTAAATTTTTTTTTAAACAAAGCTGTACTTGGGTTAAAGAATAACTGGAACCAGAGGACTGGTAATAACAAAAGCGGCCTCCTGCTCCCCACTTCCTGGTCTTGAGGCAATGTTCCTCTCTCCTTGCCCTTTGTTTTTTGGTGCTGGGTTTTGCCCATGCTAGGGAAGTGCTATGTCACCGAGCTACACCTCCAGCCTGCTCTTCAACTCTTTCAGCTGTTCCTCCTAATATTTACTCTTGTGTTTCTAAACAACATGCCACTCTTTCTTTATTCTTTTAAAGTATTATTGTTGACCCCTCAAGATGAAAGGTAAGGAATGAAATTTTTCCTCCATTAGCCCCATTCTTCTATTACGAGTTCTCATAGTTGTTGGTTAAATCATGTTCATTATATGCATCATGATACTTAAGTAAATGTTGTGTACTAATGAGACAACTGCTGTACAATGATTTCTCTTTCAACTAATTTAGGTTTGCTTTTCTGGAGTCTTTTACTTTTGTTTTTATATTGCTTTCATTAACTCTCCCAAATCTCTGGAAAATCCTCCAGTACTATTTTCCAAATCATCAACTGCAATGGGAAATCTATCAGCTTGTATTTGTTCTGTCAATCTCCATTTTAAAAATCACCCAGAGAGATATTCTCCAAAGAATAATGACATTTATTTGGGAATACAAGCACCATAGCAAACTGTGGCATGTTCAAAGAGGTTGAGCAAGAGGAAGATTTTTAAGACAAAGATGAAAAGGATTACATCAGATATTTTAAAATAATCTTAGCCACCATTATTGATAACAGAAGTGATATTAGTCTAAGGCTGAACAGTTCTTTGCCACATGGATGTCCTTGGGAAGTATGTTTTGTATAAGGTTATGGTGACATCTGTGCAAACTTGCGATCTGGCAGACTCCTTTGTGACAGTTATTGTGCACATGAATTCTTCATAAGCTCCCAGCTTTAATTTCTTTCTCGTTTTGATTCGGCAGCTTTTACATTTGTTTCCCAGTTTGTTTCCTGCTGTGGTAATTTCCTAGGGCTTCCAAAACAAGTTGCTACTAACTCAGTGACTTAAAATACAGACTTGTGCTTCTCTACCAGTTCTGGAGGCCAGAAGTCTGAAACCAAGAGGTTGGCATGTTGGTTCCTTCTAGAGTCTGGGGAGCATCTGTTCCTTGTTTCCTCCTAGCACCTGGTGGTTGCTGCTGGTGCATGGCATTCTTTGGTGTGTAGCCACATTGCTCCCATGTGTGTCTTTCTGTAGATTTCTTCCTCTAGGTGTCTGTGATCATGATCTAATAAGTATGCTGGTCATATAGGAGTAGCAGCCTATGCTAATCCAGTATAACTTCTTATTAACTAATTATATCTGCAAAGATCGTATTTTGAAATAAAGTTATCTTCCTGTTCTTAGTGGAACTGGATTTGGGGGACACTGCTAAACCTGCTAAACCTGCTACTGTTGTTTCTCAAGCTTCTTCTCTTCTGCTGGACTTGGCTGGTTGTTCTCTAGACTTGCCCAGCAACTTTAACGTAGGGCATTCCCTTCACCTTCCTTTGCAAGTCCTGTTTCCTCCATTCCTTACTGCCCCCTCTCTGCTTTACTTTCTCCTTGTGTTGAAGCACATCCTCCAGTGTCTGTGTAAGAAAGAGGGCCTGGAGGGACATTTTTTGCATTGCATATCTGAAAATATCTTTGTTCCACTTTCATATCTAATTTGTCGTTTTGCAGAGCAGAGGCCAACAGGTGAAAAACTCATCTGCCCCAGAATTTTGAAGACTTTGTGTTTTGGCATCCGGTATTGTGGACATGCCATGCCATTCCTCAGCATTTTACTCACTTCTCTATCTATAAAATGCAAGAATTGGAGCCAGCTGTGGTGGAGCATACCTGTAATTCTGGCATTCAGGAGGCTGATGCAGGAGGATTGCAATTTTGAGGCCAGCGTAGGCTACAAAAACAAAACAAAACAAAGCAAAAGTGAAAGGACTGAGGCAGGGTTGGGGTAACTGTGGTAGAGCACATGCTAGCTTACTCTAGGCCTCAGCACCTCAAAAATAAATAAAGTGCAAGACAATCTGTAATGTTACAAGAATGTATTCTGGTACAGATCTTTTTTTTTTAAATCTTCCATTTTGCTGGCACATGATACTTGTTTTATCTCAAAACTTGTGTCCTTGTTTTCTGAAAATATTCTAGATGTCATCTGTTGGATGACTTATTTCCCTCCCATTTTTATTCTCTCTTTTCTGAAATTCCTCTAAGTCAGACGGTGCATGTGCTGGACACAACAACTCTCTCTCTTTTCTTCATTTGCATTCCTCTGTCTTTTTTTCTGCTTTCTGGGAGATTCCTCGTCTTTTATCTTCCAAAACATCTATTGAACCTTTTATTTTGGCTGTTAGGTATCCAATTTCTGCACCCACTTTCTTGGTCTTGGATGCACCTGGCTGCAGCATCCTGTCTGTATCTTGTGGATGCAGTGATTTCCATCTCTCTGATGATATTCCCTAGAGTTAGTTACTTTGTTCAAATTTCTTTTGTTTCCTGTATGGTCTGCTTCCTCCGGGTTCCTTTGCTTTGATTGTTTGTTCCTAGTCTTTTACATAATCAGATGTCAGTGACCTTGAACATGACTTGTCTGTTCACATTTAAGAATGAGTCGCTTTACAGTGGTCGGGAGCTCCTCAGGGAATGAGGCTCATGGGCCGCTGTTACTATCTCTTAGCCTTTTGTCCAGGGCTATTCAGCTCCTCCATAAAAGACCCTTTACTCCCTGCCTGTGGCTGTAAGTAGGGGCTGGAGTTGGAATAGAAATCTAGATTCTAGAGGTCTGAAAATAGACAGGCCCAGGGGCCAGCTCTTGCCATCTGGTGTGTAGACAAGGATCTCCATTAGAAATAGATGTGATTGTTTCTTTTATCCACCATACATCAGCCTTTGTGATTCTTCTCCATGAAACAGATTCGTCCTGTTCAGTACCATAGCCACAGGCTACACCTGGCTGCTGAGCACTAGAAATGTCAGTTCAGTGGAGACGTGCTGTGAGTATAACCTACGCTTGAGATATTGAAGATTTAGTATGGAAAAAGCTGTGAAATCTCATTAGTAAGCCTGTAATGCTTAGTTCTCCTGAACTAATATTTTGTATCCATTGGGTTAAGCAGGGCACATCATTAATTTTTTTTTAAAGGAAGAGACAGAATGCGAGTCACATGTAGAACTTTCAAAGGCCAGGCAGAGTGCCCTGTGCCTACATCCTCAATACTTGGGAGTCTAAGGCAGGAGGATTGCTTGAGCCTAAGAGTTTGTGGCCAGCCTGGAAAACATAGAGACTTTCACTCTTGAAAAAATAAAACAAGATTAGGCCTGGAGTATAGCTCAGCATTTGTTTAACATGTGTGAGGCCCGGGTTCAAACCCAGGACTGCGAATAATAACAATAATGTTTCTAGCAGAAAAGAAACAGATGGAAATAATATTCTCTAACCCTATATAACTAAAATAGTGTAATGTCAGTTGTCCTCAGTATAAAAATTCTTAGTGCTACGTTTTACACTCCCTTATTGGTCCTGGGTGCATCTCACCTCTAGGTCTGGCTGCATCACGTGCTCGGTAGCTGCAGGTGGTCAACAGCTGCACACTGCTCAGTGCAGATGGAGATAGAGGTATCACTCACATGTCCAGTAAGCTCCACTCCTGTGCTCTGCTGGCCAAGACCCAGGTTCCCTGACTCAGTTTCTCTTGGCTTGACATACGCAGCTGGTTATTTGGTCTCCTGAGGGTAGTGTTTGCCCCCTGGAATAGTCATCTGTTTCTCATCCACATTTCCAAAGCACTCCGGCCTCCCACCCCAACCCTGTGTTTCACCTCTTAGAGTACCCAGTGCCTGTGCCCCAAGGCACCTGCAGAACTTCCTGCAGAGCATTGCCCCACACGACATTTATATTTCAGCTTCCTCTGCCCTGCAGTATTGGTTGCCATTAGTCTGCCAGCTTTGCATGTTCCTACATGTGTGGACATTTCTTGCCCACTCCCACCTTCCTTCCCACTGTCTGTACTTACGGGCTTCTGCTGCTGCTTCTTCTTCCCCCTTTCCTTCTCCTTTTCTGCCTTCTTCTCTTTCTCTTCTCCTCAACACCTATCTGTAAAAATCCATTTGGAAATCAGTATGGCGGTTTTTCAAAGAGCTAAAATTAGAAATCCCATATACAACAGTGATGGTTTTCATTAACAGTTAAATGGCTGACCTTTTCATAAACCAATCTTTTAATAAAATCAATTCTTTGTCCTCAATCCCATGTCCTGTGCCCCACGCACACACTCTGCCAGCTGTTAGTCCTACAGTTACCTCCATGAGCTCCATGTACATGCTCCAGGGTCTAATTGCTTCTCTCCTCTGCAAGGGTCACCCAGAGACTGACCCAGATTCCCAAAAGACCTTTAGGCCTTTCTGATCCAGCTTCCACTCCCCTGGCCTCCTCAGCCTAAAACCCTTACAGCATGTTGTCTCCTTTGGACACAATATGGCAAAAGGGTTTCCATGGAAACCAAACTTTGGTACTTACTCAGTACCTATGTAACCAACTGTTCTGTCTCTCAAGCATGTATTAAAGACTGAGTCCCCTTTCCTCTCCCTCTTTTTGTTTCTAACCCTCAGGTTCTCCAGCCATTTTTGTGATGTCGTGGGCTATCACCAGGCACTTTCTGGAAGATGTTGGGTAAGTTGTTAGAAGGAGAGGTAACAGAAATGCATAGTTAGTCCTTTATATCTGTGGGTTCTGCATCCACTAATTCAGCCAAGAATTGAAAATATTTTTTTAAATTGGTCTGTGCTGAACAGATATATATATATATATATATATATATATATATATACATATATCTTTTCTTGTCACTATTCTTGTTTATGCCAAAACACAGTATAACAGTATAACAGTGTAATGAGCACAGCCTTTACATTGTATGGGGAATTCTCAGTGATCTAGAGATCAGTTAAAGCATACAGCTATGTTTATATACTATGCTGTTTCGTATAAGAGACTTGAGCATCTGGAGATTTTGTGCCTACACAGGGTTGTGGAACACGTTTCCTATGGCTACATATGGGCAACTATGTTTGACATCATCCAATTCTTCAAATAGCATAGATACTTCTTTGGAGCTCTTTAGGCAAAGCCAGTTTCTCACATTAGGGGCCACGGTGAGTAGCCCACCTGGGACCAGCACCACTGCTCCCTAGCTGTGAGTTTCCAGGTGGGCCGTGCCTGCAGGGACAGCTCCATGCTTAGGTCAGATGCCAGACTGGAGCTTCAGGACCCCAGGCATGTGCTGCTCAGTGGAGGAAGCCCAAGAAAGGGCCACCCCAGCTGTTCCTAACCTCTGAGACATCCTTTCTGGACAGTCCCCACTTCTGCAGTTTAGTGTCCCCGCTGAGGTGCAGCAGCATTCTCAGCTCCTGGGTGTGTGCTGTGCCACCACCATGATGGTGACAACCTAGACCCCGGTCCTGTTCGCTAAACAAATGAGTGCAGAATAAGCTCCAGCCAGCTTTGGAGGAGGCATGGTGAAGGGAGCTTAGTGAAGGCCAAGAAAAAGGCAACAGAGTAGCAGACGTCTTGTCCTCCAGGGCATCGTGACATGGCCAAGCCCACAAGTAGACTGGGCTGGATGAGGTTTACCTGTGTCTTTTCATCCAAATGTGCCTCAAAATAATTCTTCCAAAATAATATTTTAAATAAGTAAGTTGCCTGTCTGTCTGCCCCTCTTCCCTCCCCCCTTCCTCCCTCCCTCCTTCCCTTCTTCCCTTCTTCTTTTTGTGGGATCCAGGAATTGAACCCAGAGCCCTCACACTGAACCACCACACCATCCCTTTTGCAATTTCTTTTTTTTAGCCAGGGTCTTTCTAAATTGCTAAGCTGGGTTCAAACTTGGGGTCCTGCCTGAGCAGGTAGAATTATAGGCATGTGCCACCACATCTGACTTAGATGTTTGTTTATTTGTTTGTTTGAAATAGGGTCTCACGATGTAGTTTAGGCTGTCCTTAAACTCACACTGTAGCCCCAGCTGGCCTCAAACTCACAGCAATCCTCTCGCCTCAGCCTCCCAAATGCTGGGGTTACAACTGTGTGCCACGCACCTGACTGCTTTAGATATTTAAAAGTCCAGATCTTCAACCTCCTTAAAAAAATGTAAAGGTCTATTAGTGTTTTTCATTTCCCCTCATGGCAGAAATTATTTAGAGCAAGCAGGGGCTGCCTAGAACCAAACATATACTGTCATAGGCCAGGTACCCCATGCCTCATGTGCCCAAATCCTGAGGTCATGCCAGTCCCTCATCCAGGCACCTCACACATAGGTGTCACCTGCCTGCCCTCTTTTAGCATCTGAGATGGCCGCTGTGTACCCCAGTAAATTCTGACATAGGACAAGGCCAAGTTCTAACAGTGGTGGGTACACAGCTGTGGGGGCTCAGAGCCACAGGTGCGGGTTGTTAATACCAAAGGATGCCTCAAGGAAGTGTCCTTTAGTCTGTCTGGCTGTTTGCTCCTAACAACACCTGGCTATCCCTCCCTCCTGTAGATGCTGGGACATCAATGCCAACGCTTCTATTTGGTGGGTCATTCGAGGGCCTGTGATCCTCTCCATCCTGGTGAGTGGCTGTCCTCTCCGGAGCTGGGGGCCAGTGAGACAGTTGGGAACAGTGACCAGCTGGCAGGAGTAGAGGACCTAGAGTCATCCCTCCAGGTGCTCAGTGTTTCCCAAGCAGCAGCACTGCACTGGGAGCCCTAGACTGGCCCTAATTGTGTGTCTTTCAGCTAATGTTCCCCAGCCCCAGGGTACTTATAAGAACAGTGAGGGCAACTCAGTCATCCTTCCACTCTCCAGGTTCTGGGGCAGTGGGCTACCAGGTTGGAAAGTTCTTAAACTCCCAGGCCAGGCACTGAAGTGAGGGAAGAGGCCCAAAAACAAAGAAATGGACTCCATCCTGACCTTCAGGAAGCTGTGGTTCAGTTGGCAGAAGGTGGAGGCATATTTTTGACAGAAGTTAGCATTTGGCCCTTTTATACAACCCGGGGCTTGTGTGTGCTAGGCAAATGCTCCACCACTGACCTGCCTATCCCCAGTCCTTTTCAAGACAGTTTAAGTGTTCTCATACAGCAATGCACCACCAAATACAAATGCGATCTTTGGACCACCAGTTTCAGCTTCACCTAGAAGGTTGTACACATTCTAGCCAGGCATGATCCTGCATGCCTGTAATGTCAGTCCTGTGGGAGGCTGAGGCCAAAGGATTCCAAGTTTGAGTCTAGTATAGATGATTTAACAGGACCCTTTTTCAAGATAAAAATTAAAAGAAAGGTTAGGATTATAGCTCAGTGCAAAAATACTCTGTTCAATCCCTAGTCCCCCACCCCCCCCCCAAAAAAAAGAAAAGAAAGGAAAAAGAAAAAAGAAAGAAAGAGCAAAAGAAAAGAAAGTTCCAAGTTCAACTGTCCACCTGGGCAGTTTAGTGAGACCTTTTTTCAAAATAGAAAATGGGCTGGGGATGTAGCTCAGTGGTAGAGCACCCCTAGATTCAACCCCCAGTGCTCTCACCTGACACACATTCTTGGGCCCACATCAGATTTACCTAACCATAACCTGTGGGAGTACAGCCCGGCAATCCCTACCGTAAACCTTGTGAGAGCCACTGTAAAGCCAGTCAGCTTTGACTTACCTGGTATTAGAAAGGCCAACACCTGGCCCAGCCAGACCTACAGTTTTCAAGATTCACAAAGATTTTGGAGTGCTCCAAGTGTGAGTAACCTGCCCAGCACCTGAGCAGACCCTGTAGCTTCTGCAGCCTGTGGATAGGGGGTGCTGCTTCACCCAGAGAGTCTGTTTCAACAGGATGCCGGGCACAAGGCTGGGCAGCAGTGATGTACTATCCTGGCTGCAATGTCTTGCCAGCCTGGAGAAGTGGCTGGGAAAGCTTGACACCTCAGCCCTACTTCTGCCTTGTGTTTTGCAGATCAATTTCATCTTTTTCATAAACATTCTAAGGATCCTGATGAGAAAACTTAGAACCCAAGACACAGGAAATGAAATAAACCAGTACAAGTAAGTGGAAGGCAAAAATACAGGCACAGTGTCAGCCAGCAATTTTTTATTGAGTGCCTACTGTTTACCCAACTGGTGTTAGCCAAAAAGAAGGAAAAGCTATGAACCTAGTCTCAGGAAGTTTACAGTGTAAGTGGCGGTACAGTGGTGGGAGAAGGGGTCTGATTATGAGACCTCAGGCACTGTGGGGGCGCAAAAATTAAGAAATCTCAAGCAAGAAGCCTGAAAGCATAGGTAGGATCCTTGAGGCAAGGCCAGGGAGCCTGCAATGGGTTGTGGGGATCCCAATTCTGTCAGATTTATATAGAAATGCATATTATTCAGGGGGAAATAACTTTCATCAGATTTCCAAAAAGATGTGTGACTCAGAAATACTTAAAACCATTAAGATGTTAAGGTGGGCTAATCTGAAAGGCCTGCTATAATCAAATACCACAGAACAAAAGACAGGGAAGTTAAACAACAAAAAAGTTTCCCTGTGGTTCTGAAGGCTGGAAATCCAAGATCAAGGTTCTGTTTCTTCTGAGGTCTTTCTCTCAGCTTGTAGATGGCTTGCTTCTCACTGTGCCCTCTTGTAGTCTTTTCTCTGGGCACCCACATCCCCCACGTCTAGATGTATCTCAAGTCTTCTCTCTCACAAGGGCACCAGTTATTTGTGTCGCATTCAGCCGAGGCCTCTTTGGCTTAGCTCAGAAGAAAATCATGATTTGCCTAAGAGCAGCTTCATTATGAGCTCTGGGCGCCGAGTGCCACTAGCCCTTGCCCCTCCGAGGTACAGTTCTGGGCAGCCACCTGCCACTGCTGTCAGCTCCCCAGCAGCCAGATCACAATGCCTTTGGTGGCTTTCTGGCTTCCATGTGTCACCAAATGCCACCAGTTCAGGTGAGTTGTCACCAGTCAACACCACCAGTCTCCACTGCCTTTCACCACTGATGTTTGTCGATTGTTGCTGGTCTCTGCTGCCGGACTCTGGGACTCTTCAGGGACAACAGCCTCTAGTGTTACTCCACTCTTTTAACGTGAACCTCTCTGCCCATGCTACCTGAGAAGAGTCACAAGTACTGAACAGGGCTTTCTTTGGCCCTGTTATGCTACAGCCAAGGATCATGCTCGGGAGGGAGCCCCTTCCCCTAACTAAGGAGGGTGAGGAGATACCGCTCGTATACAGAAGCAGTGGGCCCACACGTGTGCAGACCTATACATTTCACAGGCCTGCTGGAGAGCTTGCAAAGCAGTGACACAGGGGCTGACAGGATAGGGGCACTGGGAGTGGCCAGAGAATGGTTGCTAGTTTGATAGATGCTGCATCTGCAAAAATGGAGGGGCTGAAATTGTGACTGCCATCACTTTGGAGGAGTCTTTAGGAGGGCTGGCCTTGGGGATCACAAACTCGTGGGCTTCAGAGATACCAACAGTGGGTCCTATTGTTCCCCGACTTTGCCCTCAGACAGATGACAGCAGTGCCTTAGGAGCTGGGAAGGGGCATGGTGTTCCTCCTGTCATCGCAGCCTTGGAATTAACTCCAGGGGTATAGGGAAAGCCCTGGGCTTGTTGCTGGAGGGAACCCAGGCAAAAGCAAGGTCAGATGGGGCAGGCCATGACAGCTGTCTGTCAGATTAGGCTCCCTTCTGTCTGTCCCAGAGAAAAGGAAAGTGTTGGGGGTAATAGTCTTTTGTGTCTTAGTTGGATTAGAGCCCAACCTAAGCACCTCTTCTTAACTGAATCACTTAGCTGAAGAGCCTTTCTCTCAATAAGAGTCACCTGCCAAAGTCCTAGGGGCTAGGACTTCAACATGCAAGTTGGGGTGAGGATGAGAGTCAGCCTATAACAGATGCTAAAGACAGACTAGTGTCTGACAGAGACTTTCTCCATGATGTCTTGTTTTGAGAATCTGGTAGTGGCCAGGATTACTTGTGTCAGAGACCCCATGATATCACTGACTGGAAGGCTGCACAATTTGGTGGATCTGGGCTCTGGAATAAAGTTGCCAGATAGAATACAAGATGTCAATTTAAATCTGAAGTTTGGGTAAGCAACAAATAATTTTTAGGATGCATAACCCCCAAAAGTATCCAAGGTATATACCTGAAATTCGTATTTAACTGGCCATTTTGTATTTTTTTTTTTTTTTTTTTGTCTTTTTCCTTTTTATTGGTACCGGGGATCGAACTCACGACTGCCTGCTTGCAAGGCAGGCGCTTATGCCGCTGAGCTAAATCCCCAGCCCCGCATTTTGTATTTTTAATTGCTAAATTTGGCAGCTCTAATCTGGGAAGAAAATATAAGAACTTTTCTTTATAGATATATGTTGCTTAAAAAATGACAAAGTTGACTTCGTTCAACATGGATTAGTCACAGAGTAGTAATTACAGGAACATAATTAATTTAAAAGTTATTTGAGCATTTATGTAGGAATTGGTTGATCAAGAGTTGGTGAGCATTGGCAGGGGATATAGCTCAGCAACACAAACATGTCTGGCAAACACAAGGTCCTGAGTTTGATTCCCAGTACAAAAAGAAAAAAAGAGTTGGTGAATATTATATCTAGGTGATCAATATATGGAATGTTAGGAACTTTCCAAAGTAAAATTAGAACAAACAGGGGTGTTGTGGGGATGGTAGAGTGGTTGCCAAATATACCTTCTGTTTGATTCCCAACACCACAAAAACAAAAAGTTCAGAAAAACAAAGATTCAAAAAAAAAAATGCAGGGATATTGTTGCCAAGCCTCAAGTGGTCAGTCACTCGATGGCAGGACGGGCCGCGGGGCAGCTAAGCAAGAGTGGCAGTGTGTCCTTGTGTTCCCAGGCGCCTGGCCAAGTCCACCCTCCTGCTGATTCCCCTCTTTGGGGTCCACTACATCGTCTTTGCCTTCTCTCCTGAGGATGCCATGGAAGTCCAGCTGTTTTTTGAATTGGCCCTTGGCTCATTTCAGGTAAGTTTTGGAAGCTATGTGGCTAAAAGGAAGAGTTCTGGGTTTCCTTAAAGAGAAGAGGAAGCCACAGAGACAGGAAGCCAGAGCTTCCTAAGGTTTAGGCGTGAGTAAGGGACACTTCATTTGGCAGGGGCCTAAGGGATGCAGGGGTGGGGAAGACCTGCCTGTGCTGTGTGACCCGGAGGGGGACTGTGAGTCCCAGTAGTCAATGGGGATAAAACTAAAAGAAACACAAGGGCAAAGCCACCCTGGCACACTGCGCACAGCTCTTGACAGCATATACCGGGCCCCAGTCACACAAACAGCCGAGGCTGAGCCGTCAAAAAGCCAGCAGGGAGATGAGCCCTGCAGGATAGCGTTTGAAAGACTTCCCATCTTTGGACAGGGAAGTCCAGAGGAAGTCTCTAAACCAAAAACCTACAAGTAGCAGCATCAGCATATGATTTAGAATCAGTCATGAGAGGTCAAACAGTTGTCTGTGAGGAACAGGAAATAGGGGCGGCGGTGGGAGGAGGCTTCTGGGTTTTAAAAACAAGAATCATTGGACTTTTTAAAGCCATGAGCACATGGAACTTATTAAAAATAAAAACTGACTTTAAAAAGGGGGTGGAAAATCACCTACCTGCTAACCCAAAAAGATATTGTAATTTTAAAGACCAGCAAAAGAAAACATGTTTAAATAGAACACAGTCTTAATTTGAATCCCAAACATCATGATGTTATTTGTCCATTTACTCATAGGTATTTTCTTCCAAAAGGAAGTTGATGTCATTTTTGGGAAAAATATATAAAGGATCCCTCCAAAAATAGATGAAGGATCAATGGAAAAAGAATATAAAGCTAATTGAGTTCCTACACAGAAACAAATTTGGGAAAGTCCTATCGAGGCTGGGGAGATGGGTCACCAGTAAGGTCTGAAGCTTCCCAGTAGCCCCCAGCAAAGACAGAAACAGTCTGTTTCAAATTTCAGAGTATCCATGAAATGGAGACACACTGGGTTGGCAATATAGCTCCTTCAGTGGTAGAACACTTGTCTAATCGGCCCCAGCTTCCATCCCTAGCACTGCAAAAGAAAAAACCATGAGAGGATCAAACCCATTGCCATTCGCCCATGATTATCAACTTTAGCGGCTGGGAGAAGCCCTTTCCCAGTGGATTTTCCTGAAGGACTTAGCCTGACCTCAGCAGCGTTCCCACAGTGGAGCAACACTGTCCTGCAGAGCCTTCTCCAGAGGAAGCTTTGGTATTCAAGTGGGGCTCAGCACCCCCTCATGCTTGGGGTTCTGTGTTGATAGCACAGCCAGGCCCATGCTACAGCTTATAGGTTCCAGGGAACATATCATTGAGTGGACTCAGACTGCACTCCATGCTGTCCCCCTTGCTCAGAATCTGAGAGCTCCTTCACCCACAGCCCCACCAGTGCCCTGATCTCCTGAGAACTTGCTCTCTTGTATGTGTAATCCATGGTTCTTACTAAAAATAAAAGCCAGGGAGCTTTCCCACCATTGTGCTTGTGTGTCCAGGGCAGCTGGGTTCACCAGGGCCTATTCAGTAACTGGGGACTTTGAGGGCTGGGCAGGTAGAAGGACTTGACCCAGCTTACATGAGTGGGCAGTGACCGGGTAGAACAGTCAGAGACCCAAATCTGCTTTGCCACATACACAGGACTTCTTGTTCCCTAGATTACGGTTTGTGCTTGGTGCTGTAGGCTACTTTGGAGAAAAACATTTGGCTTCTGTCTGGGAAACTATCAAGAGAAAACCAAAAGCACTTTCTAAATGGTCCCATAGGATCATTATGAAGGAAAAAAGATCATTAAAGTTTTTATAGTATATAGTATATATGTGCTTATGTATATGAGCATCTATATAAATAAAATACATGGAAATTTCAATATATCCAAGAATGAAGAGGACAGAATGAGCCCGTGTGCAGGAGCTCCGCAGCTTCAGCAGCATGCTCTGATGGCTTACCTTGTTTCCGCACTATTCCTGCCTACCACCCATCTTCTGATGTAACTCCAAGACACTGTATTATTCCATCTATAAGCATTTTAATATGTATTTCTAAGTGATAAGGACTTAACACAGTCCACAATATCATTATCACAGTCATACTTTTAAAAACCAAAATACATGCAATCTCTCTGATTGTATGAATAATACTTGCTTATTGTATGAAAATAAGGAAAAGTAAAGAAGCAACTTTCGAAAAGGGATGGGATATTGCTCAGTGGTAGATTACTTGCTTACATTTACAAGACTGTAGGCTAGATCCCCAGTACTGGACTGAAAAAAGGAAAGAATCATGTATAACCTCCTAACCCAGACACAAGTTCTATTGAGAAAGATACACACACAAGGCCACACACACACACACACACACACATATGAACACACATAGAATTGTAATGGAGCTTTGTGTCCTATGTGCTTTAATCCTCTATCGTGCCTGTCTTGAATATTTGTCATTAAAATTCTGAAAAAGCCTTCATTTTTAATGAGCACATGCTAACTGTGGAGTTTAGCGAACTGGGTGACTATGCAAACAAAGCCTGCTGCTACCTATGCTTGAGGCACCACTAACTTCCTCCCCCAGGGTTCCTGCCTCTCCAGACAGTGAAGATTGTATCCTTGGATCCCAGGATGGGGAGACCTGGGCACGCTGGGTCCAGCCTGACCACTAGCTCTGGGCCGAGCACACACAGCTTCAGTCCTGTGGGAGCCTTCTGTGGCTGAGTTTCCCCACTTGTAAACTGCAGGGCATCTGTCCCCTCTTACCTTCTACCCAGGGCTTTCAGTGGAATGGTATGAAGGAACCCAGAATGCCATGATGACTCAGGCCAGGCTACACTGTAGATCCAAAGCTTCCAAGTGCCTTTTTCTCTGGCAGTGGTTCCCAGAGGGTGAAACCCACTCCAGCCCTCTGGGGACTTTAAAAGCTATTCATCTCCCCACGGTCAGACCTTCAGGTATGGGGTAGGGTTCAGCCTGGGGCAAAAGCCTCGCAGTGAGTCTAATGCACAGCAAAACAGAATCCACAGCCCCAAGTAAGCACTCCTGCCCTACAGAGAGTTGCCCTTCTATGCAGCAGTCACTGACACTGACATTACAATGTAAACTCTTCTAGTTTTGTCACTAATATATTAAAATGTCATTACCCAGTTAGGATAATGCTGGGTGTTAGCTTAGTGGTAGACAACGTGCTTAGCATGGTGAGACACTGAGTTCAATCCCCGAGATGAGAAGTGTGGTCAAAAGGGCTGGATCTTTAGTTTTTTGAGGTCCTTTCCTGAGCAGTAAATACGTAAGGGCAGGATTTTGGGATGAGGGAAGAGAAGCTAGGCCACACAAGGGCACAGCTGCGTGCAGAGACCCCTGTGGGTGACAGGGGTCACCAGACAGGCCAGAAAAGGCCAGGTGGAGGTGGCACAGATCTTGCTAAGTGAGGGTACTCAGGCCCTGACCAAGGTGTGTCCACCTGTCTTCTAAGCAGGGAGGCCAAGTTGTAGCTGGTCTGCACCCGGACATGGTTTGTTCTGATCACCCATTTGTTCTTCAGTGTGAGTGAACTCCCTATGTTTCAGTCTCCAGCTTTCTAGCTTATCTTCAGAATGATCACCCACTGGGCTGGCTCTGGCCCTTCATAGCAGTGGGAACACACTTCAGGGGCTGCCTGTCCTGCTGCTGCCACTTAGCCCACCTGACAAAGGTCACTCCTGCTGTCCCTACCTTACTGTCACTAATTCTACATACATCTGAACTCCATGGTAGGCCTTGGGAACAGAAGAAAGGGACTCACAGTCCATGCTGGGTGGCACAGGCATGATCAGGGCACTGTGGGGGTCTTGAAGAGGTAATTCCCTAAGGTGAGAGAGGTGGGGAAGAAAGTATGGAGCTGGTGACCAGGGGACTTGGGAGGAGAGGTCAGAGGAGAGCCCCAGCCCAGGTGCCCAAGATGAGTGGTGAGCCTGCACTAACCTCTGCTCCCTCCGGCAGGGGCTGGTGGTGGCTGTCCTCTACTGCTTCCTCAATGGGGAGGTAAGTGTCCTGGGATGCCACTATGCCCCAGAGGGAGCTGCTGGAGAGGGTGGAGAGGGGTGTAGAGGGAGGCAAGAGCAGGCTGGCCTCAGAGCACAGGCCTGACCAGTCTCCCAGGAGCGCGCTCAGTGGGAACAGCAGTTCACCGGGAAGGTGCGTTAACACTTGCCTGGCCCTGGCCCCAGTTCTGATTTAGCAAAAAAGGATTCTCTAGGTCTGGGCAGGACAAAGTATTTTAACAAGCAGGCCTGGTGATTCTGATTTGTAGTTTAGTTCAGGAAACACAGGTAAGGGGTGCAGTTGCCTCAAGCAGAACCTGGGTTTCTGACTCCTCTACTGCTTGCTGGATGGCAGTGGGGGTCACTGCCCTCCCTGTCCTCAGTCTTCCCATAAGTACAATGGGTGACTCCAAAATGCCTGTGGTACCATCCTCCAGATGAGTACTGATTCCGGGGGCCTGTGCAGCTGTGAAGACTCTGGCCTTGCACAGAGCCTATGAGTCAGTACACTAGCCTGCAGACACACAGAGGCCAGGCCTCCAGCACCAGCTATGTATGGCATTGCACAGCAAAGCCCCTCTGCAGGTGCTGCCCCTCTATCCGGCTCACCACACTCAAAAGGGAATGGCTTCCAATGTTTTCCAAAAATTGAGCATCAGGCTCGGCCTCAGAAATCTGACTGCTCCTTTGAGGTAGGGATTGTAAAGGAGTCCATGGAGAAATGCCAAGGCTTCTGAGCTGGGGTAGCCCTGTGGGAAGCCTTGTGTCCAGTTGTCTCAGAGCAGATCTGGACATTTGAGTTTTATGGCTGGGAAGACAAATCACATGTAACAAAAGGAGATGGCAGATGTGCGAGCTCAGGGTAGAAGAGGCTGCAGTGGTCAGCTGGAGTAGTTTGCAGGTAACAGAGGGGACAGCAGGACCATCGGGGAAGAGTGGCAGAGCCTGCATAGGGGGTTAATATGTGCGTGAGGGGGTTAAGACCTGGGCTCCAGGCACCTGCTGACCCTCCCTCCCCGGCTGATGGGTGGTCTTTGGCAGGTGCAGCTGGAAGTTCAGAAGAAGTGGAGACAATGGCACCTCCAGGAGTTCCCGCTGCGCCTCAACTCCTCCCTCAGCAATGGCACTAGTGATCCCACCCATGGCATCCAGGCCAGCAGCAAAGCCAGCTCGTCAGAACAGAGCCGGGGCACCTGCAGGGCCAGCATCATCTGAGAGGCTGGAGCTGGGCTGCTCACAGGCTGAGCCAGACCTGACATGACTGGACAATGCTGTAGGACCTGGAAGATGTCCCATGTTCCCCACTGTAGCTAATAACACCCACCCTTCCTGAGACCTGGGAGTCCTCGGGACTGAGCAGAAGGAATTTGGACACCATGGGACAGGGCCAAGGCCAGGGACTTGGTCTGTGTTGCTCTTCAGGGAAGAGCAGCTCAGGGGCCCAAGAAGAGGCAGAGAAATAAATGGCAGCCAGGCAGAGACTTGGTGTGCATTTGTTGAGCTTTTCACCCTGAAACTCAAGGGGAGGGAACACTCTGTGTCTCACTCCCTGATCCCTTCCTGCAGGGAAAAGGGGCTTCTCGGGATCCCAGCTCATTTTCAGAGACAAACTTAACTGCTCAGAAAACACAAGTCCCCCACTGCAACTCACCTGTTTCCTCACAGCATTCAGGACAACAGCTCAATGAACCTGATGAAGTTGAAGGGGAGACCCAGGACCCCCAGTCCTTTTTCAGTGTCCCTGGCAGGGTGTCAGGCACATGGGGTGGGCAGGGCAAGGGATGGTATGGTAGAAAGTGCAGTGTGATCCCACTTTGCAGATTTCAACAGACTCGCTGAAGCACCATGACTTGCCTAAGCTACTCAGCAAGGAGGTCGCCAGTTCATCTAGGGCTTTTACTTTTTTTTTTTTAACACGTCGAATGCACGAGCTTCACGTCTGTGTCTGAGCTTTCCCCACTCCCACACAGGAGTGGACCAGGGCCTTTCTCCCTGCCCCACCAAGCTCTTGGGGCCTTTGGTCTCAGCCTTCACTATGGCTCCCAGTCCTCTTGAACATCTGCAGTCCCTGCCACCACGGGAAAGTGCAAGATGAATCCTTTTATAAAGTAAAACCTACTAATGCTCATAGGGAAGCATTCTGGAGAGAAGCAAGATGCTGCAGTACAGAGCAAAGAGCATCTTGCCGGGAGGGGGCAGCTCAGCCTTATTCCTCTTCTCTGCAGATAAGGTGATTACAGACTGCTGATTCCCACTTCCCAGGTAAGTTCCAGCCTGTGGGGGTGATAAACTCTGCTCTCTGCACATCCAGACAGCCCACAGGAACTCTCAGATGGGGCTGGGGCTGGGCTCAATGGTAGAGCACATGCTTAACATGGTTGGTCCCTGGCACCATAAGCAACAACAATAGCAACAAATACCTCAGGTGATATCCATGGACTCTCTACATCCTGGTTCAACCTTGCGTTCATAGCTGTGTGACTCTGCATCTTTGAGAAGATTTTTAAAAATCACCATAGTGAGGCTAGACAAGGTTGCACACATTTAAACTTGAGGAGGCTGAGATGAGAGGATCGCTTGAGCCCAGGAGTTCAAGACCAGCCTAGACAACAGAGACAGACCTCATCCCAAAGAAAAAAAAAATAGTAAGAATGCCCAGCACAAGAAGGGAACTTCAATAGTAAGGGTAGGGCAGAGACCAAAGCACTCTGCAATAAGTAAAAGCTAGAATTTGCCATTTGGGGTAGTTAGAACAAAATGGTCAAAATCACCTTTTCTGAGCAGAGAAAAGACTGGAAAGGGAACACGGTGGTGAAAATGCAGATCTGCCCACAAAGATAGAAATGTCCACTGATTCTTAACCTCTTGATCTCCACTCATCCCCAGGACAGCTGTTAATCATTACCCAAAGGCTGGTTGCTCCCTGTACTCTCTGTGGAGTCCAACAGGTCCAACTGTGTGCTTTTTAAAAATAGTTCTAGGATTAAAAATGATACCCTGAGGCCAATGGGCCCTACAAAAGCTACACTCACAAGCTGGCATGCATACACACAGGCCTCAGGGAAAGTTATGTGGGAAGTCAGTGGAGTCCCGGGAGGACCTGCTCAAGGAAACACTCTCACAGCCAGGGCCTCAACAAAGAGCCTGCTGCGAGAAGCTGGGGGTATCTGGGGTTTGTGAGATCCTCCAAAAAGATAGGAAAAATCAAGTCAAATGGTTTGAAAACCTATTGTGTGAAAGATATTGTAAAGGATTTCTATAACATCCAGGGAAAATGCTAGAAACTGACAGGTCTCTTAACATAAAACAATCCAGATTCATTCTTAACAACTTCAGAAGCCCAAAGGACCTCCTGCACATGGTCAACGAAATAGGTGCAAACAGTGCTTATCTTGGCAGCCAGCCTGAGGACCAGTTACAGGATTTTTTTTCTAAATAAAGACTTTTTTTGGTACTGGGAATCAAACTCAGGACTTTGCACTTGCCAGGTAGGTGCTCATGCCACTGAGCAATACTTCCAGCCTAGGGCTTCTAAATCGATCCCAGTCCAGAGAAGAAACTCAAGGAGAGAGTGTTAATACTTTTTTTCTTTTGAAATCAACATCCTAATAGCTTGGCCAAACCTGTGCACAGAGACACACTCTTGGCCTCTGGCCTTGGCCACCAGCTGCAGAGCTGGGCCATTTCTGGCAGACAACTCAGAGCTTACTGGCTAAAAGGCAGCAGCTTCAAGGTCCTGGTACCACCCATCACCACCAGAGGTCACATGTTGGAAGAGTCTCATCTTGATCACAGGTTCTTATAGAAACCGAGGTCTCCACAGAGTGCCCTAGAATTCCCTCAGTTGGTTCCAGGGGTCTGTTATGCTGCTGATATGAAGGCCACTGATAGCATTGAGGAAGAGGAGGAAGGAGGCAGTAAATTCACACCAAAACATCAGGGTGAAGCCGATGAGTGTGACCTGATTCCTGAGGAGGATCACGAAACTCAGGAGTCCCACAGAGGACAGGATGAAGGAGATGAGGAGGAGGCAGGAACCAATGGCCCACTTGCGCCGAGAGTAGGTGTTCTCACACACTTGGGATACCATGAGGAGCTCCAGGCCAAAAATGGCGGCCACCACAGCCATGGCACCCACACTCCGAGCCACACCCACACCCACAGCCAGTCCAGGCACTTGGGCCTGGCTCAGGTCTCGGAGGCAGTGTGGCTTGCTCTGGTTGGTGAGGGTGCAGAAGTGCCACAGCCCAAAGAGGCGGTCCTCATCCAGGAGCCAATACCCATCACAGATGGAGATAGAAGAGAGGACCACAGCCAAAGCACTGCACACGATGATGAGGGTCTGGATGAAGGACTCAAAGAAGGACCGGCGGGGCCTTCTCTGGCCCAACAGCCTCTGGGCCTGGAAGACACCAAAGGAAGCAATGTCAGTGAAGGCCCAGCCCACAAACTCCTCAAACTCTCCAAAGAAGAATCCAAACATGCCTTCTATCTCCCCAAAGCCTTGTTCTTTGCTTGGGTCTCACAGGAAGTCTGGAACCCCCCAAAATCCCTTAGCTTCTACAGCACAGACTCACTTTCCTTGGGCGCTCTCCATTTTCTATTTTCCTTCTAGACCTACCAGCACTGCCTGTCCAGAATTCAACCAGACCCTAATTATTCCCTTACCACTCCTTATGATTTCAATAATGGGTGAAAATTCCAAATTGATCCATGAATCCTTCGTTGTTCTTAATTCAAAAAACCTGTCTTGCCTGGGTCATGTGCCCTTAAGCATACAGCCTGCCTCAGCTGCTTTGCATACAAAATGAGAACTTTGCCTAGAAGGGGTACAGTGTTGTATGAGGCAGTGAGATTTTAGCACGTCCATACATAAGATTATTTTCTTGTCCAGTGCACATTTACTTTTATCCCACCCCATGCCCACTTGGTTTTGTACTTTCTGTATTTGGTCTAAGACTCTATGTTATTATCTTGTTTTCCTGAGTCTTGAAAGTGATTTCTGCACGTTGCCTTTCAGCCTGACCCAGCCTGTCCACCACCCAGAGCTGGCCAGCCAAAGTGTCTCTTTAGCAGCTTCTAGGAAGAACCCATTGGTCTCTGTATTGGAGAGAAACATCCCCTGACTTGGTCTCCCAGCCTGAGAGCTTGGGGTGCCGTGTGGTATCTCCTATCTCATCTGGCATGACTCCCAGCTCTTGACTCACAAAGCCAAAGAATGAAATGCTACACAGAGAAACAACAACAACAACAACAAAACCCTGCTTACCAAAGCCTCAAGCCCTACACAACCCATCTGCTTCTCTCTCCTGCTTCTCTTCCCGCTTTACTCTTCCTCCTCACCATGCTCAGGCACCATGTCTGTCCTATTTCCATGCCCAGAACTTTCTTCCCTCAGATCTCCTGGCCCTTGTGCCCAACAGACTCTTCGGCAGCTGGCCAGCCTCAAGGACAACGCCTTTTCTTTGGGACTTTATTTTTTATGGTGCTAGGGATTATGCCCAGTACCATCCAATTAAGTTACATTCCCAGACCTTTTTTAAAAAAATATTAAGACAGGGTCTTACTAAGTCGCTAAGTTGCCCAGATTCATATCTGTGATCTCCTTATAGAGAACCCTTTCCCATCCTCATCACAGTCCAGAAAGGTTTATAATTGTAATCCCAAAGAGAAGTTACTAGAATTCTAGTGAGTTAATTCCAAACTACCATTTCCAGTGCAACCCATGGACACAGTAAAGACACTGAGACATATATACAGTTAGGGGCGCCAAGGGGTCCTAAGTCCAGCCAAGATAGTTGTTCACCGGGACAAATGCCTCGACCCAGAGCCCTTCTCAGGTTTTATTAATTCTCCATATGGGAAGTTGCTTGGTGATAAGTGACAGAGTGGGGAGGGGTAATAGTGACAGCATGTCTGTCATGACTGCCTTGGGCTGGGCTAGGTAGGAGGTCTGAGATCACCTCTGTGATAAGCAGAGGGCAAGAAATGCAGAGAAACAGTAATCTGCATAACACAACTGAGGTAGTTTCTAATCTTTTGGGTCAGGCTTCAGTTCTCATGCACAATCCTTTTTGCCCTGGGAAGTCATAGCCTCTTTCTTGAGCCTTGGTCCCGGATGACTGCATGGAGCATGGCTCTCCATCCCACCAGGCTCAACCACATATATGGGGAGTCACTGGGTGGGGTAATGCTGACTTGTCACTTTACTTCAGAGATTACACATCAACTCCTCAACCAACCCAATTTACACTGGTTAAAGCCAATTGAAGGGCAAAGAAATAGCCTAGCCAGCTCCATGCATATCAGTACATGGAGACAAGGCCAAGTTTATCCAAAATGGAGATAGTTGCTCTTCTTTTCAAGGAGAGCCAAGTATGTCATCTCTGTGGTTCCCCACATTCTTGCCTCAGCTTCCCAGAATTCTGGGATTACAAACATGCATGACCATGTAAAGTCACCTCCTTGTGAAGGTCCTTTACATCATCCAACCTAATGTAGTTTCTGCTGACATTCTCTGCCAGGTACCCTGTTTGCTTTCTTTATCATTCTTATCTGTTTTGAGCTGACATTTTCTCTGTGTCACTTGGACACTGTCCTCCAGAGGACAAGGCTCTCATGTCAAAATACTCTGTGTCCCTGGTTCCCGGCACTATTTGACTTGTGCATTCAGTACATGCTTGAGGAAAGTCCATGAGTTAGTGAAGGGTTACTTCCATATGAAGCTCCCTTTAACCCAGTTCTCTAGCCTGTTCATAAGCTGAATTATCTTTACAGTGTGTATGGAAGCAGGTTATCCCCTTGCTTTGAGGTCAGCAAAGCATATAGCCCACATATACAGTCTTTGCTAGGAAACCAGCAATGGTCTCACCGGAAACCTGGAACCCCTCACAATCCCTCAGCTTCTGCAGCACAGACCCAACTTCCTTGGCAACTCTCCCTTTCCAGTAGGAGGAAGGAGCCCCTGGGCTGTACCTTATGCCATATGTGACTGACACCTCAGGGGCAAGTGTGGGCCACACCTCTCCATGCAAGATGCTAGGCAGAGCCTGGCTCCTGGGAGACAGTGCAGTCAGGGCCCTCACAAAGTTGTCCATTAGGGTAGCTAATAGAGAAGGTGCCTGAGTTCAGCCAGGGTTACTGGAATAAGGACGCTGTTTGCTGTCAGCACGTCTGCCTAGATAGCAACTACATAGAGAAGGAAGCTCTGTGGAGAGTATAAAAGAAGGAAACTATGTCCTGTACATGGAAGGTGACTTGCCCAATGTTGCTCACCTGAATTCCAGTAATGCTTGTTACAGCTCTTCAGACGAATATAATGTGTGTTACCTTTGAGATCTAGATTGGCCCCCCCAAACTCTCATGTGCTCAGAGGCAGGGCTTTTGGAAGGTGATTGGATCAAGGAAGTGCTATTTTCATCAGAGGTTTGACAGGCTAAGTTCAGCAGCTGGTGGCTGCTTACAGACAGCCCACTGGGGTTGGGACATGAAAGGGTGGATCTCTCTTGCCAGATCCTCCCTTTGCTTTCTGCTTCCAGGCTGCCATGGGATGAGCAGCTGTCTTCTACCTATGTCCTTTTGCCATGAAATTTATGCATGAAGCCAGCTGACCATGGATTGAAAACATGAGCCAAATAAACCCCTCCTCCTGTAAGTTGTGGGTGTTGGGTATTGTCCCAGTTACTTTCTCCTTGCTGGGACAAAAGGCTGGATGCCCAAAGTTAAGGGAGCAAAGGTTTATTTAGCTCACAGTTTATGGATGTTTCAGTCTATAACTGACTAGCTCTAAGGCAGGGTGGCATCACAGAGGAGAACAGTTCATGGCAGGCAGATGTAGCAAAGCAACAAGGGACTTTAACGGCATCTTTCTGCCTTTTATACTGTGTCTTGGCTGCAGGGTTAGGAAGGTGCCAAACCAGTCAGTGGACTGATTTAGTAATCACTCACCCTTAATCCCAACATCACACACTCTTGATCCAGACACCTTTGAAAAGCACCCCCTATGACTGCCTAAGGCTTTGAGGGGACAACTAGACACAAGCCATGACAGGTATTGTGTCTCAGCAACAAGCAAAATGATAAATTCTGTGTGCCAGAGGTAGAATCTACTCAGGTCCAACTGTCCACTGGACCCTTCTAAGCACAGGGCCTTGCTGCTAGCAGCTCAGTACCACTGTTGAAGAAGGGGAATGTGAGCTCACAGGAATGCCCAAAGGGCCCTGCCAGAGCTAGGCCCAGCACCTCCACCCAGATCCTGGCATGCTGCGACGAGTGCCAAGGTAGGAGTGCGGGCTATGGTTCTCAAACCGTGTGCCCTGGGCTCCTGACGGGACTTCAGGCACTGTCGTTGGGTGGCAAGGAAAGCTGAGCAGACTGGCTCTGGGTACCCTTCCTCACTTCAACTAAAAAGGTGGAGGCCAGGAGTCCATACTGCATTTCACTAGGGAAAAAAGATCTACAGGTCAGAAACACACTCAAGGAAACTTTGAACCTTGTTTCTCTAGGTCTATAGCACCAACTGAGAGGGGAGAAGTTTCTTAACCTCTTTGGTCCTTGGTTTCTCCTCTAAGAACAGAAGTTGGTGACACACTGTAGGAAAGCAGTAACCCTAAAGAAGGTTACATTTTTCCTAGAGATTGATATGGTAGCAAACGGAAAAGTCCCGATTGCAGAGAACAAGTCACAAGAGCACAGGATCCATAAACCTTTTGACCCTCGACACCACATGGGAAAACAAGCACGTCCTGCCCCTCCTCAGCCCCGCCTGTCCCTGGCCCAAACTGGACTTTAGTCTCCAGGCCATAAGGCCTTACCCTGGGATCACAGAGAGAAAACAGCTAATCTCAGTTCATCTCTCCCTTTCCTGCCTCAGAACACGGCTTCACTTAAACTCTGACCATCAATAAAACGCCCAAGGATTAAATGAGATTGTGTACATAAAGATACATGGCACATAGACCCTTTCAATTTGGGAGAGTGATTAATATTAGTAAAAACTGCACCCATTGGAGTCTTCAGTCCAAACCTCCCACCCATGCTGCCAGTACCTCCTCCAGCTGTCAGTGACTCAGGGCCTGAAATCCCCTCCTGGGGGCAGGGTGATGGCAGCAGCTCAGGGGAGGACAGAAAGGAGGGAAAGAGGAGTAGAGGACAGCAGTCTCTGGCCTGGAGCCCTAGCTCCGTGCATCACACCTATCTCTTCAATCTCAGGACTGTGACTTCTTCAAAAAAAAAAAAAAAAGCAGTTTCCCCTTTTTCAGCTATGACCTTGAGTGAGTCCTGGTTACCTCTGAAACAAGGATTCCCTGACACTAACCGGCTACTAAGCACAGTGCCATGTTCACATCTTTCCCCACATACAAGGGCTTCACAACCAAGATCCCTGGGCTCCAAGATCCCCAAGGGCTCCCCTCAACCAAGAGCAACCCTAAGTAGATACTCTGGGCTCCTACTTACTCCCCTCATCCCCAATATAGCTCCCGCAGTTGCCGACCCTCAACACCCACACTGACCAGTCCCAGGTCATGACACAGTGAGTCCACCCATCTCAGCTTTCAGCCTGGGTCCACCCCCCCCCACCTGCAAGACCTAGAGCTTCTCTTAGCTGTGTTGTTCACCCTGTCCTGCTCACTCACCTGTGAACAGAGACAGCAGTACTTACTTTCTAAGGTTATTAGTGGGCATGAAGCTATAAGTGCTCCCTAAGCCTGGGCCCAACACTCCACCCTCACTGTGCACCTGTGGCATCTCCCACTCAGAGGAGCGCTGCTGGGCTTCCACAGACAGCTCCCTCCACACCCTCCTGCAGACAGCTTAGCTCTTCTCACCTGGTTCCTCCCTGCTCACTCCCTAGCCCAGCTCTAGTGCTCCTCTCTCTCCTCTCCTGCTGAAGCTAATTCTTCCCAAGGTGTTTGCCCCTCTTAATTTAGCCCTGGCTTCCCCCATTCCATTGCTTGTTTTCCAGTCTCTCTGCCTCCTTAGCCAGATCATAAATTCCTCCAGGGAGGACCACACTTGGTCCTACCCTCTTCACCACCTGTCCCTTTCTTCCCAAGGCCTGTCCCTGGATATCATGTAGCCTAAACCTTCACCAAGTGGAGGATTCACTCATTCCTGTCCCCTATAACCATTAAGCAGCTGGGTCCTGGTTAAAAGAGGTTGGGGGTGGCTGTGGATATCATTTCTAAGAAGGGGCAACTAAGATTTGAAGGTAGAGAGTCCTGGCTTTGAATCTTGATTCTGTCAGTTGGACTCTGTGGGCAGGTTACTTCTGAGCCTCAGTTTCTCATCTGTAAAATGGGCAAGCCAAAGCAACTGGTTCTCTTAATTCCTGCTGTTTCACAGGCCAAGAAAGGAGGATCACGTGCCCAGGAGCTGGAGATGAGCTTGAGCAACCGAGAAAAACCTTGTCTCAATTAGGATAATAAAACAAGCAGAACAGTAGGTAACATTATTAGGGTCTGAAGGGCCTGAGCACTTGAAGGCAGTCAGCTCATAACCATCAGACAGCACGGTCTCAGCCTGCCGCTGGGGAATGTGCGCCGGGAATGTGTAGGTCTTTAGGCGACAGGACCATCTTGCACTGCCGTAAGGAGAGACCAGCCTGCGGGGAAGCAGCCTCGGCTCCCGGGAGCCTCTTCTCCGAGGCGAGCGGCCCCACCGAGTTGGCCCGCGCCTGCACCCCACACTCGATTCTGGGGAGCTGGTCTTTCTAGAATCCACCCGCAGAAGTTGCAATTTCCTACGCCCACCCCACCTGCTACGCAAGTCCAGCCTAACTCTGCAAGTCCATTCTGTCCTCTCCCCAGTCCCAGACGCCCACGTGTTTGGGCAGGACCCCTCTGTTGAACCCAACTGACAGTCTCAGGCGACCCCGAAGGAAAGCGGGAAACCCTCCGCAGGGAAGTGTGGGAGGCGCGGGGGCTAGCGCAGCCGGGGCGGCGGGCGGCGGAGGCGCGAAATCAGTGTCGCAGGCGAGCGCCCCCAGAGCGCCTCCCGCCGGGCCTCGGTGTCCTTTCCCTCCCTCTCCCCGCGGCCCGCGGCGCCCGCGCGGACCCGGCCGGGATACCTGCACGGCGATGGCGGTCATGCTGCGCTCCCTCTGGCCGCCGGCTGGGCGCGGACGCCGCCCGGACCTCTCCCGCGCTGTGCGGCGGGGCGGGGACTCGCAGCGCGCAGTCCGCCGGCGGCCCGCGTGACGCTGAGCTGGCGAGGGCTGCGCAGGCCGGACCCCTGGCGGCCCCCACGCGTGGGAGCGCGGGGCGCAGGCCCCTGCTCTCGGGGGCCGCGATTCCCGGGCCAGAGGGCACGACCCGGCGACTTCCTGGAGGACGCTGCCCGGAGGAGCGAATTCCTCGAGGGCTGGGACTGCCGAGGGACAAGGATTTGGTTCCGGCCGAGCTGAGCCGTTGAGCCCCGAGGAGGCTGGAGGGTCCAGAGGGAGGCGGTTTGGCCTTTGCCTTCACCACCTGCTGCGTGACCTTGGGTTGTTTGCCTAACATCCAAAGCCGAAGTTAATCAGTGAGATAACGCATGATAGGTCGAGCTCCTGCATGGGGGCTGGTGAGTGTGAAGGGTGTAGAACCCTCTGGGGGGATGCAGCTACCTGCGCAAAACGCAAATACGATGCTGGGGTTGTAGCTCGATGGCGATGGCGGACTTCTTGCGGTTCTATCCCCAGTGTGGGGCGGCAGATAGGTCAGGATACTCCCTTTCCCAAAAAGAGCTGAGGTTGTGTTGGAGGCAGCTGAGCTAGTTAGAAATATTATAGGCAGTCAGACAGAGTTGGGCCCTCGAACAAACTGGCATAGAGGACCAGGTGTCTAGTGACCTTGGACGAGACACACACGTCTTCCTGTGGGCCAGATCTTGGGACAGAAGGCAAAACAAATGCAACCATGCCCTAAATATAATCCTGAGGGATTAAGTCTGGATCACCTTGAGAAGCCAGGAGTTATCATCCCAAACCCCTACAGAGACTCATTGATCCATAAACAATGCTCACTTGCTACACGACTGGCTTCCTCATTTGTCCCTGACTTGGTCAATTGTTTCTGAACAATTAAACTTATTCGTTGACCATAGCTTTGTCCCACCTCATACCCGTCTACCTCACAAGTTCCCAGTTTTCCCCACTTTAGACCCACCTCACCGCATGATTTTACTCTATAAAAATCCCTAGAAAGACTGAGTCCCTGGCAACTCTCTGCCAGACAGAAGCTTTTTTCTCTTGATATATTTTTCTGCTCTTAACCTCCATTGTTCCTAAAATTCATTTTTCAATTTTAGAGAACACAAACTCATACCAGACATATGGTAGGTCAAGAATTTTATTCCTCTGTGTCAGTTGGAGCAGCAGATTCTGGATGGCTTCTCTACTGCACTATCCTGGTCAGTTTTGGGAGAGTGTGGTTGGGGCATGGGGTTTCTGCCTGAGGTAACTGCAAGATTCTCAAGTAGAGGAAATAAAATAATCTCTCTCACACAGGTAGGCTTTATCCAAGGACATTCAAAGGGACTGCCTTTCCTCCACCCACTGAGAAAGCCATATGAGAAAGTTACAGAGGCATCTTCACCTAGAAGTTCTTGGGATAACATCACTGTCTTGAGAGACCTTGCTGTATTCCCTAAGCAACCCTACGGCTTGGCTGATGGAGTGTTGGACGTCCAGGCCCTGGACAGCCTTGACATTGGCCCAAACCTGGGTTCTTGTCACTACTCTGGATCAGTATCACCAGGGAGACTTGTTCAGATGTGATTTGCTGGGTTCCTCCCCAGTTTCTGACTCAGTGGGTCTGGGATGAGACCTCTGATGACACTGATGCTGGTCTGAGGGCCAAGCTTTGAAAATTGTAGGGCTGCTGACCAGGCCTCGGTAGCCCAGCCTCTGCACTGGGACTCCATACCTTCTCACCCATCAAAACCAAGTACTCCTTCCTGGGCAGCTCTGGGTTCCAGGGGAGGGACTCACATGGGAAAAGCAGAGGTGGCTCCATTAGGGGTCCTTTTGTGGTGTCCTACAGTGTTCTGTGGGTAGGATCTTCTTTCCAGTTTGTGTCATTTCACCTGACTGAGAGGCCAGAGCAAGATGCAAATTCCAAGGAATCATCAGGTTGGGTACCCGCACCCAGCCAGTGCCTTGTAGGAAGATTTCAAGTGTGGTTGGGTGTGTTTGGGAATAGCTTGCTTGTCATTGTTTTTAGTAAGAATGGTTTAAAATTCTTGAATCAGTAGAAGTTAGAACAGCATGTCTTGACAGCAGGATGATGAGAGAAGCAGAAGTGACATAGAGTAGTGAGGAAGTGACTAGCGAGTTTCATCACTGATGCCCTGATGAGTCTGCTGAGATCTGAGACCCTTGGCTTGGGCGTTGGAGCAAAGCCGGGGAAGGGGGCATCTACAGGCTCTCCTTGTCTCTTCCCTGCCCCTGGGGACAGTGAGAGTGGCAAAGCACTCACCATATGAGTATGCTGAAGAGCAGGAGTCTCCGTATAATGGGGCACATGGCCAGGTATGGGGGCGGCAGGTGAAGGACAGGATATCTTATCTTGTGTGAGAGCCAGAGACAGCATGGACACAGGGCTGGGCTCTGGCATAGTGCAGAGCCTGTCTCTTCCTTGGATTTCTCTGCCTGTTCTCCAGACAGTGTGACAGACTCCACGCCCATCCTGGCCCCACCCCTACTTAGATGATTTTCTTGGGGAGAGGTATCATAAAGGAAGGCTGTGGCTCTGATCACACACCTCTGACCATCTTGCTCTGAGGGAAAGACCCAGGCAAATTCTTTAGCACTCCCAGGCAAATGACTGGTACGCAGGTACTGATGAGTGAAACCACAAGCACTGTATCTATTGTTCAGTAAACAAACAGGGTCTCCTCTACTGCTTGCTCTGCCTGAAAAGCTCTTCCTCAAGGTGTTTCTATCTGGCCTAGGGATACAACTCACTGACAGAGTGCTTGCTTAGCATGTAACAGGCCCTGGGGTCTCCCTAGCACCTTAAAACATTTTTTTTTCATTATAAGGCTCACCATCATTTTGCATTCTGGGCTGAGATATCACCTTATCAGAAAGCCTGTCATGACCACTACACCTGCGACAGCCCCTCCGTTCTTTTTTATCACCTGACTGGTCCCTATGCCTCCACAGTGTAAGGAAGAAATTGTTAAAACTTGGGAAACAGTGACTAGCTTCATGGTCTTAATTGGCTTTATTTTCCTTTCTGGCATTGGTAACTTCCTTCCATAAAATAGAACTCATCTTGTAAAACAGAACAAGCATTCCAGTGAACCACAGAGAAGTTGTTTTATGGAAAGAAAAGGGCCCAAAGAAAGCAGAAACAAACAAACAAAAACCCAAAAAGCAGATTGGTCATTTCAAAGTTTCCTTGCTTACGTGGTGGGGTCAGGAAGACAGAAAAATAGAAAAGGTACTGATTGCTTAACATCAGGCTACTTCAGGTTACCTCTCCCTCTTCTGTGAAAGAATGAAGGCAGGGGGAACTTCATCGTTATGCCAACAGAAAATGCCTGTTTGATCAGTTTGGCTATTTCTTTTAATCTTTATTTCTTGGAAGGTCAGATAAGCAGCTTCATTTCCATAAGTGACATAGAACTTTAGCATTAGTAACTTCATTTGGTTTTTAGCCTGGTCTTTCAGGACTGACTGCAAGAGCTTAATCTGAAATAGCATCCTCTTTTTAATGTTTTACTGTTTATTTATTTATCCTTTTGAGCCAGGATCTTGTTATGATGCCCAGACTGGTTCTGAACTCTAAGGTCAGGTAATACTCCTGCCTCAGCCTCCCCAGTAACTGGGACTATGGGCATGAGCCACTGTGCCTGTAATTATTTTTTTAACAGCTCCAGGAGCTGCGGCCAGGGATATAACTCAGTGTCATAGTGCTTGTCTGGCAGGAGCAAAGTCTTGAGTTTGATTCCCAATGCCAAAAGAAGAAAAGAAAAACAGCTCTTGGAGCTCAAGGACTTGCCACATTCACTGCTTAGGACACAGCCAGCTACACAGTAGGCGCTTGGTAAGTATTAATTGAGTAAGTACGTGAATTGATCAGTCCATTACTATGTGCTCACCACCACTGTCCCTTCCAGTTCCTCATGTTAGCTCTTCCCAAGACCCATAAGGCTAGAGGGACCTGGGCCCTGCCCAGCCTCTGCCCTGAAGCTGTCCATGGCTCCTGCATCCCCTGGGGCTCCAGCAGCACTTGCCTGCTCAGGCCCTGGCCAGCAGCTCTGACTGCTGTCTGCTAGCCCTCTTTTTGGGCCCCCAGGGCTTCTCCAGCCAGAGTAGTGCCCACACTCACACATTTGCCTCTCTAAAACCTTTGTGTATTCTTTTCTTTGTGGTGTTGGAGGTGGAACCCAGGCCCTTGCACATGCTGGGCAGGGTAGTATCCCAGTCACTACCAACTTTTCCATTTGCCCTCTTGGAGTTTCTCTTTCCCTCTCTAAATACCTGAGCTCCATGAGAGCTAGGACTTTGTGGCTCTCTTACTGTACCATATCTGGTCCCTAAAGTGAGAGCTGGGTGGTAGGGTTTGCTAATTGATGGATCAGGTGTCAGATGTGTATAGGGCCAATGCTCTGTGAGCCTGTGTTCAGTCCAGTGGGGAATGTCTCCCTCTGGGTGTTGTGAGGAGTCCATGAGATGTCATGTATAAAGAGCCCAGTGGACTGTCCTGTCCAGCATAGGTCATTTTGGGGGGGTGGGGGAGAGGAGGTTGGAGATTTCACACAAGACCTTGTGCACACTAAGAAAATGCTCTACCATTGAGCTATATCACCAACTGTTTTCTCTGACACCTGATCTCCTTAGTTGCCCAGTCTGGCCTTGAAATTATGATCCTCCTACCTACTCTCTCACGTAGCTGGCATTACAGGCCTGCACTACTGAACTAGTTTGTGATTTAGACCATCCAGCTTCCCAGGAGTTTCAAAGTCTGGTTGTCTCTGACCTCAGGGAACTTTCAACAGAAGAGGCAGCCCGATGGTGCAGAGCTTCAGTTGGCAGAGATCAGACATTGGCCTCCAGAAACCAGAGGAGTTCACAAGCAGTCTCAGAGCAGATTGGTGCCACGATGACTAACCCTCCCAGCCACCTGTGCCTTGTCCACTTCTCCACTTGTGTGTGACCTTAGAGAAAGCAGCATCCCGAGAACCTCTCCTCCTCACCTCACTCCTACCTTCTGCAGGTCTTCCCTCTCCACTCAGGGCTCCTCTTGTCCTGT